AAACTTCCTCGTCATTATGACAACTATAAAACTTCCTGGTCATTATGACAACCACAAAACTTCCTCGTCATTATGACAACCATAAAACTTCCTCGTCATTATGACAACTATAAAACTTCCTGGTCATTATGACAACCACAAAACTTCCTGGTCATTATGACAACCACAAAACTTCCTGGTCATTATGACAACTATAAAACTTCCTCGTCATTATGACAACCACAAAACTTCCTGGTCATTATGACAACCACAAAACTTCCTCGTCATTATGACAACCACAAAACTTCCTCGTCATTATGACAACCACAAAACTACCTGGTCATTATGACAACCACAAAACTTCCTCGTCATTATGACAACTACAAAACTTCCTGGTCATTATGACAACCACAAAACTTCCTCGTCATTATGACAACCACAAAACTTCCTGGTCATTATGACAACCACAAAACTTCCTGGTCATTATGACAACCACAAAACTTCCTGGTCATTATGACAACCACAAAACTTCCTGGTCATTATGACAACCACAAAACTTCCTCGTCATTATGACAACCACAAAACTTCCTCGTCATTATGACAACTTCCTGGTCATTATGACAACCACACTTCCTCGTCATTATGACAACTCATTATTATGACAACCACAAAACTTCCTGGTCATTATGACAACCACAAAACTTCCTGGTCATTATGACAACCACAAAACTTCCTCGTCATTATGACAACCATAAAACTTCCTGGTCATTATGACAACCACAAAACTTCCTCGTCATTATGACAACCACAAAACTTCCTGGTCATTATGACAACCACAAAACTTCCTGGTCATTATGACAACCACAAAACTTCCTCGTCATTATGACAACCATAAAACTTCCTGGTCATTATGACAACCACAAAACTTCCTGGTCATTATGACAACCATAACACTTCCTGGTTATTATGACAACCACAAAACTTCCTCGTCATTATGACAACCACAAAACTTCCTCGTCATTATGACAACCATAAAACTTCCTCGTCATTATGACAACCACAAAACTTCCTGGTCATTATGACAATCATAACACTTCCTGGTCATTATGACAACCACAAAACTTCCTGGTCATTATGACAACCATAACACTTCCTGGTCATTATGACAATCATAACACTTCCTGGTCATTATGACAACCACAAAACTTCCTGGTCATTATGACAACCATAACACTTCCTGGTCATTATGACAACCATAACACTTCCTGGTTATTATGACAACCACAAAACTTCCTCGTCATTATGACAACCATAACACTTCCTGGTCATTATGACAACCATAACACTTCCTTATCATTATGACAACCATAACACTGCATCATTTTTATCAGCCTACCCACTTGTTATGTGATTTTTTTTCTCTGTCAATTGCATATATCTTGCATGAAAATAGTGATATTGGAAATAAGCCCTTGAAGATCGAAACAGTTGCGACATGTAAATACTATAGGTTGTGGATGAAGGGATGTTGATATCCGGCGATAGAAACATCATATACCTGAACAGTGTGAATTCTTACTTAAACATTTAAAGTTTTTACAACAATACAAACGTGTTTCATTCATGAAATGTTTGTTGTTCTGACAGAATTTTTTTATCAGTCTTCATCTAAGTTTAAAACTCTATGAAACACTAGCTTAAAGTTCTTTGCAATACGGTGTTCCAGGTTTACTTGTGTATGTTAAAGGAAGTAAATGGCTCATCGTGCGTGTTTATGAAACGTCTTCATGTGATACTACTCTGTAAAATTGTTACTGTAATACCTGTTTTGTGGGGTGTGTCTGAATAGATGACGGCGTCACAACTTGGGAACTACATCCTTCATATGCACATTAGAAAACGAAATAAATAAATAAATAATCCTTATATTTGCATTTCATACCAACGTGTTTTCATTTTTAAAAAATAGCTCCGCAAACGCGGGCAATACCCCACAGCCAATTCAAGATGGTGGCCGTAACCGCCATATTGGATATCGAGCGACGACGAAAAACAATAGGGTTGTGTAGGTCCATAGGCCCAACATCCTCAGTGAAAATGGTGACCACCGGTGTTGTCGTTCTTGAGATAATGAGCGGAAAGCAAATTCAAGATGGCGCCCGTAACCGCCATATTGGATATCGGGCAGCGACGAAAAACAATAGGGTTGAATAGGTCAATAGGCCCAACATCCTCAGTAAAAATGGTGACCACCGGTGTTGTCGTTCTTGAGATAATGAGCGGAATGCAAATTCAAGATGGCGCCCGTAACTGCCATATTGAATATCGCGCGGTGACGAAAAACAATAGGGTTGTGTAGGTCCATAGGTCCAACATCCCCAGTGAAAATGGTGATGACCGGTGATGTAGTTTTTGAGATAATAAGCGGTATGCAATTGTGGATGGACGGCGAGACGGACGGCGAGACAGACGGGCGGACGCCGTGCGTGACCGCAATACCCCACACCCTTTCGGACTGTGGGGTAAAATGTTCGGTTTGGTTAGCTACAGCTGCTATGCAACGCTTCTATAAATGTTACATCATAATTTGTTTATGTGTTGTTACCCTGTTATAATTCCTAATAAACATCATCCAGAAGAATTGCTGAAGAGTTGAAAGCACCAGGGAAGATATATCTATAAGTTTGTCCATTTATGTGTTTATATATCATCATTACAGGTAAGTATATTAATCAACCAATCAGCGCTCGGCGATATCGACCGTTTTAGTGACTTGATGGTCATGAGACTGGCTCTGGCAAATCAAATCTTCGGAAAGACTCCATAACTACGGTTATCAAAATAGGAAAACGTGCTCTTAAAAAGGGAGGCTATCTAAAACGGAACATCCAAAACGGATCTGCAAAATCTTGCTCAACCGCGACGAGTACAGTTGGGGGATCATACCTCGGATGCGGTGTTCACATAAAATTTCTCATTTTAAGGAACACTGATTGAATTTCATAAGCAATTACATGTCAGTATATTTTTAAGAGCGCAAAAGTCGCGCGAATGTAGATAATTAATGTACTAGATGCGATACTAGCACGCCAACATAATTAAGTCTTCTAGCTAAGTCTTGAACGTCAACTATGTCAGGTAAAATCAGAAACGTATGATAGAGGAATCTGAGACTGTTTTTTCTGCTTTCCCTGGTTGTTTCAGGTGCTGGAAAATGCATGTTTGTATCTATTTTGATATCTGATTATGATTGTGTCGAAACGTGCTAATTATAACAGATAAATTGATATTGTCTGTACGATGGGTGTGTTGTGGAACTTATTGAACTGAAATACTGAGTCAAATAAAGTTAATTAGCCTTGCTGTGTTCATATAAAATTTTCTCCAAAAGTTCCTAACTAATCTTGCCAAAACAAACAGTATAGAGCAGATGTCAATTTTCAAACTGATCCCACTAACTCTTTTGACAAATACTTTCTGTTAACTTTAGATATTTTAAAAACAAAACGGCTATTCACAACTGAAATATCACACTTTATTAAGGAAAGTAATTTATAAATCGGTGCCACTAAAAATCTGACTAATTTTCTGTTTGGTAAATTTAATTTATATGATTAGTCATTTTAATCTATTAGTATTATTTTTGTTACGAAAATGAGATTCCCTTTTCACTTTGGCTCTGGTCATGCCGGTCAATGCAAAGACAGCTTATATTTTGTAGTGAATGGGGTACAGTTAACTAAAAAAATTGAAGGCCTTGACGACTCAGTGAAAAAAAAATCTTGATGTAATACGTCCCGGGCAAAATTCCTGTTTATAAATTACTGCCATTACCCTATGATCTCCGCCGAGCTCTTTTAAAACCAAGAAAGTATCTGAAAGCATTCTGAACCCAGATAAAACGAAACCAAGAATATCTCAGTTATAATCATGGTTACAGTATACACTTCTCGTTAAAAACGATTGTATATGTAAATATCAACATCAACATAGTATATACATTGTACACTTCTTTAATAATGCTTGCATGATTCGTCATTATTGTTTTATTTACTATAAGTGAATCGGTCAGTATATATTCACACCAATGGTTACAAATGTCAGTCGTAAACTGAACGCAATATATAGAGATAAGCTTACAAAAAAAACCAATTGGAGAAAAAAAAACCAACAAACAAGGCATTAAAATAAACTCAAGTGTACTATGTTTTGATTATAACTGTGCCTTAAATTTTGATTAGAAAACAATATAACTATGTAGTATATATAAACAGCAGTCCGTCTTAATGACTCATCGATACACGTACATTGATGGTGTGTTACATATACAACGATATGACTTAAAAAATTTCCATAAACTGAAATTATGTGCTATTTTCACCTAAAAAAATGACACAACTAATTTTTAGTTCAAGTTTGTCAAAGTTATATCCATGTGTTGGAAAGTTACTATACTTGATATTAAGGGGCATACATTTGGAGATTTATACATTTTACATTTATACATTTTTGTACATTATACATAATAATGCTATTATTTCACAGTGAAATTGTCAAAATAATCATTTTGTTAAAAATTTTATTAGACTATGAAGGAGGTTCATGGTTCATTTTCAGTGGGCCAAGATCCACCGTTTATACAAAATTTCACCGGGGATGCTTCTGCCAAATTTGTTCAAAATCCTGTAAGTCGTTTATGACAGGTAGCGATTTGTATGAAAAAGCTGACGGACGGACGGACGAACGACAGACACCGGGGTATGCCATAAACTTACAGAATGTGCGTTTTTACTGATCAAGTTGTGCTCGCTTTTAGGCAGTAGCTATTTCATATTACCATTCTGTTATCATGTGTTAGCTTGATATCCAATTATGTCTCGCTTCCCTTTTTTCCGGATATGTTTAATCCGTTTTGCTACTTGGTAGTCTCCCTGATCTTGGTGGGTAAGACGTTTAGCTTCTTGGACAACGCAACCAACCGTAACATGTCAAAATTGTAACCACGGACAAGGAAACTTGGGAGACTATGAACCACAAAACAGATTGGGAGGGCAAAGTTTCTTCCCTTTTGCGAGAAACACAGTCAAATTTGTCACGAATGAAGGTTCGTATTTGCAAATCGGAAGCATTTATCTGTTGGCGAACATTCACCGGTCCAGTCATGTTTCATATCATTTTTTTCACCAATAACAATAGAAGATCAACAAGTACATGACTTGTGTATGGTTCTGACGAAGTTGATGTCTACAATAAAAATACAGTCTTTAACTCTTTTTTTGAAAAAAAATAATAGCTTATTCCAATTTGCAACATCGTCAGAATCAATCATATTTAAGAAAACAGAGACACGATTCTTTTACAACCGACTATCGTATTTATCTGGTAAAAAGCTCATGGCTGGTAATAAGTCCACCCATATATATATTGCTGTTTAATAAAATCAGTAAAGTGTACTATTTTCTTGCCTTGAAATAAGCCCTGGCTTTAGTAAGAAGGAATGTAATGACCCAGGGCTTATAACAGGATAAATATGAAACAGTATACTGTATCTCTAGGACCCAATGTAACAGGACATAAACATGATGTTGCTATACTCACATCATAATCTGCGTAACAAGCTGTTTCAATAGCAACCCAGAACCAAATTCAAATCCACTGGTTAGTATATACTAACAATTAATATCAAGATCCTCTATCAGTATTAGACTACATCATTGATATTGCTATAAGACTGCTGTTTGATAGGTGAGCTGACAAAAAAACAAAATCCCAGATGGATACAAATTAGACAGATTCCTTCGGATTAAACAGATCCTAATAGCCATCGATACCATGGATTTTGTAATGTGGATGTGGCCCATATTCGGCCCCTTTCTAAACAGAAAATTGACCTGTAGTTTTCCCATGTGTATCCATTACTTTTACAATTAGCAGTTTGTATGTTTCTTTGTCCTTGAAGCTTAGTTTGAAAGAATTTCTGTTTTCTTTTGATATATATAGTACTGTATAATCATATCAAATATGACTTTGTCTGTTGTAGAAAAGAGCTGGTGATGGTGTTGGTTTTCGTGGTTACAACGATTGGAAGTATAGAAGATGTACAGTTACTTTCTTACTTACAAATCTTAGTTTAAAACTTGTGACCAAATCAGGACCTGTTGACTCTATAAAACATTTGTTTATCTTTATAAAGTCAAGTGCATAGCAGTTATACCATAGAAAATCAGAACAGAAAGAACTATTCATATGTTAATGTTTCAGAAACTATTTACAATTACACGGAAAAATGATCAGAAATCTGATGTTACCAATAAGTTGCAATATATATGCTTTACTTTGTAATCCAACTCATTACATTATTGAAGATCATATCTGAATAATATTGTGGTGTGTGAAATTTCTCGATCTTCTGAATCAGAATTCACAATGAGAATATGTAGGTAGAATGAAGATCAAATTCTGCTTGACCAATTTTGTTTAAACTTTTAAGAGCTTCAAATGAGCCATAAAAAAGATTTATTTAATCGTTAGGACTGAAAATTTCATACATAGTAAAAAGGCGATGTGGAGATGTGTAAATATTTTCAGGTCATTGGGGAATCATTTTATCCATATTAAATTATAAGCAAGAATATTTTAAAACAAATCACTGTTTTGTGATTTTTAGACTCCAGTTCATCTCCATCTATGAGAAAGTTTTCTTCCATGTCTGATATATCGCCAAGCACCTCCCGCTATCCCAGTGGTTTGAATACATCTTTCCGTCAAGGGACACAACTCAGTACAATCCCAGATGCTTATGAATCTACTGCCTTAGATACAAAATCATATACACCCAGTGGTGGCCATAGTACCACATATACAGGAGCCACAAGTGGTAGTCAGGGCACCACATATACAGGTGGTGCTACCCCTATGTTCACACAATCACTGCAAGAGAAACTGGACCAACAAAATAAGGTAGGTATAGACGGGAATTCGGTGTTGCAGCCATGCTATCTCCTGTTATAAACCATTATCTTTTACAAATCAAGGCAAACTTGACGACTTTTGAAATAGAAACCTTGTGTAAAAGATATCACTTGTTTATTCACACCATTATATCACTCCATCAGGTTCTACATCTGATTACTTTTTGTTGGCCATTGGTCAGGAGTTGTACAAAAGACTCCCAAGTGGACAGAACCTATCAATGCAGATTTAGAAAAATAAGATAGAGTAGAGCCAAATACTGAATTAAACTGCATCATACAGCTGTTTTTTCTTTCTTTTACTTGTCAGTGATGCTACATCATACAGCTGTTTTTTTCTTTCTTTGACTTGTCAGTGATGCTACATCATACAGCTGTTTTTTCTTTCTTTGACTTGTCAGTGATGCTAAGGGCCTTAATTTTGAAACCTAGGTGGCAACTGAGGGATGAAAAAGTTGATTGAATGAAATATCAAAATCTAGATGGGGATGTGCACTTTCCCTGTAATTTGATAAATTTTGTAATTTTCATATCTTTGATAATTTCAAAAGAATGTAAGAAACAGCAGCTGAGTAATGCCAGTATTTGAATGAATTAAAATGTGGCATACAGGTTACAGCAAACCTCAGGGACAAAAAGTCCACCAGTAGTGTCTACCACCTGCAATCTCAGCAACTGTACATGGGTAAAGGGTCAATAGCTACACTTGACCTCTTTTTGAAATAAACAGTTTTGTATGAACCCTCAACTGGTTTAATTGACAATAGTTTGATCAAAGTGTCAGTGTACATGTTATTAGTAAGCACCTTCTCAATTTGTTTTTGTCTTTGACATCCTGTAAATTATACATAAATTATAAAAGTCCATTGTTAAATGAGAGGACATGTTTTGTCAGCTGCAGATTTAGATAAACTTACAAAATTCTATATAACTTGATACTGATGTACAGGTATATATATATTTGCTGGTTAATAATTATCTCTGCCCTAATGATAAAATTCCACACAATTGGTATTTTATTTTCTTACAGTTGATTGATCAGCTGATGCAGATGGTTCACAAGTTGGAGAGCGAAAGAAATAATTATGGCGAACAGATTCGAGATATACGAGGTATGTCAGGGTAATCATACAAATTAAAATATTTTGTCAACAAAGTATGCTGTCAGACTCAAAGTGACAGGAAGGATACATGATGTCTTATGGTGAATGACATTTAAGTAAAATACGTGGAAATTTTGATGAATTAACATTGTTACCCACAATTGAAAAATTATATTAATTAAAAACCTTCAATTTGTGTCTTATTGAATAACAATTACAGTTGAGATAATACATGTATACTCTATAGGATTGAGTATCATAATCAGTGGTGAATCCAGGATTTGGGATGTGTGAAGAGGGGATGGCAGCAACTTGATTTTTTTAGACTCAAATTTATATATATATATATATAGCCAAGAAATTTGACAACTGCTAGGTGATTTGGTCTCGTAGGTCGTGAGCTCAAGGCCCAGATAGGGCACAAGTAAAAATTGTCTTCCTTCATCAGTTGTGTTACCATGTGCCAATATCAATTAACACATTGTATTATATACGATAATGATTCGTAGGTATCAAATTTAAATAACCTGTTGTAACTGTACCTGTGTTTAATATATATATATATTATATATATGGAAAATTAATGAGATCCACCACTGGTATTTCTGAAGAGTTTGTAACATCAGAGTGAGTTACCAATTAACATTTCATCTGCTGAGACAAGGACTGGTCTGTGGCAGTAGGTAACACTACAAAGATATTATGATACCACAGTTGACAAATGCAAGTTTTGAGCTGTTTTTCTCCTAATGCTCTGTTCTCTTATTTGTCAGATAAGAATGGAAACATTGCACTCACTGTTTTCTGCTTCATATAAGCTGATATCTAGACTTTTCTTATGTTGATATTTAATGAATCTGAAAATAATCAGTTGTTGACTTTTCTGATAAAGGAGATGTATGTGTATGTACTACATATAAGAGTTAGTCCTGTTTCCAAACTTTTTGTGCACAGACAAACTGTCTGTCTGTCTGTCCGCCTGTCCGTCTGATAGGTAAGAATTAGTCCTGTTTCTAAACCTTTTTGTCTACAGGAGAAATACAATCATTGGGTGGGAAAATGTATGACAAAAATTCAGACAACACCATGGAACGCCGCATGGAGCAAGTGAAACGCGAAATGTTGTCTGAGATACATGTACTACAAAATCAGGTCCAAATGTACCGAAATAAGGGAGACAATCAAGTGTCAGACATTCAGGTGAACACAATCAGCAGAGATATGATGGACATGTAAGTATAAATATTTCTGTATTTATGTTGATCATATTAGACACGTCCTGAATCACCTGCAGTCTTCATTTATAACTAATGTTTAAACAATATATTTAGATGTCTTGGTTCTTTCTTACACATTTTTAGAATTATCTGGAAGTTTGTACTTAGGAATAAAAAAGTCACCCAGTTGTTATGAACAAGTTGCCAAATGGTTTACTTTACAGGAAACATACATTAAGAGAAGAAATGGAAACAGTGAGGAGAGATGTTGAAGTGTTGAAGAGTAGACTTAGTAAGTGTGATTTTAGAACTTAATTCCTTTTTCTTCCTTTACTGAAACTTACTCTTTTCTTAAACTCTGTATTTGTTAACTAATACTCAGTCCAGTGAAACAGTTACTGGAGAACAATCTATGGACCAACATTATGAAGACAGAATAAAGGTGTCTTATCTCTTTATCATTTTGAATCAATAGTTTGGGTTCTGATATTGATGTCTGTATCCTACTAAAGGTTTTCTTGAACCATGATTTCCTTTTGAAGAATTGAATTTTTTTCTTTCTGGTATATGATGTATAATCAAATTTATTCACAGTGAAAATAGAACTGGATATGTCTGATATTTACTCAAATCGGAAAGACATTGAACGTCGTCAAGACAGAATTGATCAGGTGAGTGTGGCACATTCTTAGGAAGTATTGATCAGGTGAGTGTGGCACTTTATCAAGACAGAATTGATCAGGTGAGTGTGGCACGTTCTTAGGAAGTATTGATCAGGTGAGTGTGGCATGTTCTTTAGAAAGAACTGATCAGGTGGGAGTGGCATGCTGTCAAGACAGAACTGATCAGGTGGGTGTGGCACATTCTTAGGAAAGAATTGATCAGATGAGTGTGGCATGCTGTTGGGACAGGACTGATCAGGTGAGTGTGGCATGCTGTCAGGACAGAACTGATCAGTTAGGTGTGGCATACTGTCAGGACAGAACTGATCAGTTAGGTGTGGCATGCTGTCAGGACAGAACTGATCAGTTAGGTGTGGCATGCTATCAGGACAGAACTGATCAGGTAGGTGTGGCATACTGTCAGGACAGAACTGATCAAGTAGGTGTGGCATACTGTCAGGACAGAACTGATCAAGTAGGTGTGGCATACTGTCAGGACAGAACTGATCAGGTGGATTTGGCATGCTCTCAGGACAGAACTGATCAGGTGGGTGTGGCATGCTGTCGGAACAGAACTGATCAGGTAGGTGTGGCATACTGTCAAGACAGAACTGATCAGGTGGGTGTGGCACATTCTTAGGAAAGAATTGATCAGATGAGTGTGGCATGCTGTTGGGACAGGACTGATCAGGTGAGTGTGGCATGCTGTCAGGACAGAACTGATCAGGTAGGTGTGGCATACTGTCAAGACAGAACTGATCAGGTGGGTGTGGCTTGCTGTCGGGACAGAACTGATCAGGTGGGTGTGGCATGCTGTTGGGACAGAACTGATCAGGTGGGTGTGACATGCTGTCGGAACAGAACTGATCATGTAAGTATGTAAGGGCAGTATCTACTGTGTTGGATAGGGAGGAATTTTCTATTAATATGATTACATGGGCTTTACAGGTCTTTCATATTTATTATCAGGGAGTTGTTTTATTCTCTGATATTTAATCATTTACTTTTATTATTCACGAGAAAAAACATGAAAACAATTTTATATCATAGCATTGTTTTAATTGGATTGGCTGTTGGACTTTCAGATAGAGATGTATTGTTTTGATATGCATGTTTAAATTATTAACTTATTTTTAAAAAAATGTTTAAAAGTCAGACTTTCATTTATTTAAAACTATTGATTTAAATATAACTCTTTGAAATCTCTTTTGATTAAATCAACAAAAATTTGAAAAGTACAGTGTTTGAACTGTTTAACAATACTTGAATACATACAGAGGGATATTTAAGATAAATTTCTCTACAGACAGTACAAGATTTATCTTCTCCGGCCAAAACTTTGTCAACTCCGTACTGGTCACCTGGTCATGTCTCTACTTCTACCTCGGACAAACTGCACATGTCAGAACTCAGGTAACTATATATCAGAGCTTGGATACTTAAATCTGGCTACATCACACATGCTGTGTTAATTAACCCTTTGTGAAATTTTTGTGTTTTATGATTTGATCAGTTTTGATGTTCTCCAAAAGTTTTAGGGAAGCTTGTAGTCGCCACCTTGTTAATCCCTATGGCTTTCTGTCTGTCCTTTTGTGTCTGTGGCATAGCTTTGCCCACAGTTAAGTAAGGATGATGAAACTTGGTGTATACATTGGTCATACTGGGGGATGTGCAGTGTACCAAATCCAGGGTCCTTGACTCCTCGATTACAGAGTTATTGCCCTTCATTAAAATTTTGTGTCATGAGCATGGCTTTTGTATTAAAATTAGGATTGTGAAACTTGGTGTATACAAAAGGTCATACTAAGAGAATGTTCAGTATACCAAATTCAGGATCTGCAACCCCTTAATTACAGAATATTGCCCTTTGTTAAAATTTTGTATCATACAAAGTCATTTTCGTCGAGCATTGATCAATTTCATGGATATTCTTGTCAGTTTTACTTGATATTCATACCTCTGGAGCAGATTGCTTCTCAAAAAACTATGATATTGATATTATAGTAGTGTAACCTGACAAAAGAACCAAGCGTTACGTGATCATTCTTTAGAACTTTTGACAGCTATCAGGAGGTTAATGTTACAGATGTTTACTGACGTAATTAACTCATATTTCAAAGCAACTTTAAATGATTCGTCCAGGTCCACCATTGCTACTCTGAAAAACAAAGTAGATAACATGGAAGCTTCCGTACACCGTGACGCCACATTATCAGGAGGAAACCGTCCATACACACAAACAAATGGTAAGTTTCTTATTTTCATAAAAGACAGCATGTATGTTAACTACGAGTTCAATTTCATTTGAACCTTGTTTTCCCAGCAATCAATATTTCTAATGTCTAGTTCTCCAAACAGCTGGGATAAGGGCGATTCCAGAATGTTTCCTTCAGTCAATGGAGTAGAAGTACTTCGAACCAAAAGAAGATTTTAGTGTAACATTTTGATGTCTATGTGGCCTCCTTTATCAGACAGATGTGGAGTATACTAGCACTGTCCTACTAGTACTTTAATGCTTGTGTTATAAAAACTTCTGTTCTAAGGAATAAGGGTGAATTTCTGAGAAGATGCATGCATGGATGCCCTTCACTTTCTGATATATAACTAACATTGCAGTAAAAACACCATGTTTTCTCCTCAATTCATTTCTAAAATGTTTAAAGAGGTTGGCTACAATGAGGACCAACTATGTTCCCAGCAAAGCTGAAGGCCAGAGGGTATGTGAATATACTGGAACCAGGACATCTGTCTATACACATATAAAACAGGAGAGTGTCCAGTTGTCTACAATACTTCCCCTCAATCTCTCAACCACTTTGTAATCATTACCAATACATTAAGCTTGTTGCAACTAAGCTCTCATTTAGTGGTGTTTTTTAGAGTTATGGCCCTTTACAATATAAGAAGTTTGTTCAGAGCAAAATTTTTCACTCCTTTTACCAATTGCTATGAAGCTTCATCCACATGATTAAATTGTAACTGTGGGGTCATGATTTATTTTCATTTCAAGGATTTTCCCAAGGTCATGTCCCTTATATTCATACCAAATTCTTTGTGCATGATTGAGGGGTAGGTGCCTATTAAGGCTGTTTTGTTTTTAGTGACCACTACTTGTACTTAGCAGTTGGGTCAGAAATTCTCTGAAATAGATAGATAGCAAAAGTCAGCGTGTATAAAATTGTCAAGGTGCAAACATGTTTAAATCTTAATTTTAAATTATGTTGCAATATATAAATATTAAAATATGTTTGGTGTCCAGGTTACCGTGGGTCAGACAACACAAGTGTGATGGACTTGGAGGAGTTGAATCTGAGCGATGATGATGAAACAAGTCTAGACACATTTATAGACAGACCAGTGAAACAGAAGAAAAGTTCAAAGACATCTGACCCTGAAAATCTTGATCTTGATTCTGGTAAGTGTAGTATATTATCAGAAATTTTAAATGATTATTCTTAGTCTGATAATTCAGTAAAATATTTCAGACTTCTGTACTGATTGGTCTTTCAATGTGCTATTATCCTACAGGACTTTAGGAAATCAGTTACAAATCTATAATTGATAATTATTTCAAATCTTGTCTGCTTTCTGATGTTGTTAATTGATTATACATCAAACTGGCTATGTGATGTTCATCATGTTGCTGTGTGATGAATATTGATAAACTTACCATGTGATTAACATTCATAAACTTACCTTGTGATGAATATTCATAAACTTGCAGTCAGATGCATATTCATACAATGTTCATGTGCTCTCTATTACAATAATATTGATTTTTGTAACTTTAACATAAAGAACTATAAGAAGATAAAACAGAGACAATCTTAATTATTATTATGCACAATATCATTTTTTTGAAATTAAAATGTTGTGGCTGCAATGATCAATTATGTAAAATGAAAATTGATCATCACAATTTAAATGAAAGTTTATATTTAATTATGTCCCATCATCATCTTGTAACTTTACTTCAGCTCTTGACATGTTAATTTTCTCTCGATCTCCTAAACTGAATTCTCTACAAGGATCTGGATATCATTATTTCATTATTACTGCCACAAAGAGTCTGTCTTACTAGACCTAATTCGATATTCAGAAAGTGACTATATTAATAAAAAGCCTACTCCCTCTCTCCACATCAAACACCCTGTCTTACTAGACCTAATTCGATATTCAGAAAGTGACTATATTAATAAAAAGCCTACTCCCTGTCTCCACATCAAACACCCTGTCTTACTAGACCTAATTCGATATTCAGAAAGTGACTATATTAATAAAAAGCCTACTCCCTGTCTCTGAATCAATAAAGTATCTGCTCCTTTCCTTCTTGTGGATGAAATCTTATACACATTAGATTTCAAAGTCAACATTATTTTCAATATGAAATTCAATTCATATCAGGAGTTAATTTTATACTTCAGTGAGCTTGCTATTCTTTATGTAATACATAAATGTATTTTTCTATATGAATGTTACAAAACTTCATACACTGATCTTCAATATCAAAATATCCGTTGCCAGTGATTACAAAAAAAAAAAAATTAACACATACATTATTCCTTATATCTGCAGGATTTAAGTTTCTGTTTATTTGTAAATACTGACATCATCCAGGTGTAAAGTTATGATATAAAATCAACTGCAATCATTACTCAGTGAAAGTAATTTTTTCTGGTAGTACTCATATGGTAACTAAATGGTAAAAATGTTTATACCATATTCATGTCTTCCCAACATCAACGACATATGCAGTAGTAAGTCTGTCTTTATATTTAGCCTTCACTCCCCCACCTCCCCCTCCACCCCCTCCCACCCCCGCCCCCACCCCAATGTTGAATGAGAGGGCTGATCAACTTCCTTCAACTTTAGAGATGACCATTACATGTGATGTATCATGTTTTACAGATGAAGACCTTGACTTGGAAGATTTGGACCTGAGTGATGATGATACAGTATCTCTAGAGTCTCAGCATTTCTGATATAATCAACGTAGGTCAGGCATTGTTCCTGAACTATCGCCAAAATGTGCCCAAAAGAATCCAGGTCCACAAAAGTTTTTATTGAGAAATAAAAAAAAAAGATATTGTCAAAAATACAACTACTTGCCAAAATACATAACTGTCCTTTTATTATCAATGACCAAAAGAAACTTTCCTCTAATATATATAGTCAATTTACCTATTATAACAGAGGACTTAAAAACTCACTGCAGTCTGTGTTTGACTTTTTAAGGAAATAACAAATTGTGAAAACGTCTCTTATTTAACTTGATATAGTATTTTAAAACTTTTAAAATGAAAAACTTTACACAATGTAAAATATCATGGTAAATTTCAAAACTACATTGTACATTATACCCATCTTACCATATCAGTGATTTCCAAACCCCTCCCCCACCTTCAGAACCGGTGGCAAAATGACATGCATTTAAGTTCTCTAGTGGATTCACTCATTTATTCCTTTGTATACTGAAATAATGTTTTTTGTTTTCATTTTGTATCTGAAAATTGTTTTTATCATCAGCTGAAATGGTGCAATTTGATGTACAAATATATCTGTGAGGTCATGATTGTGGTTATCTTTAGAAAAAATATACCAGTATGTGTATTCTTATAATATTCAGAAATAAATGTCTACTGTAGAAAACCTGCAAGGACATTAGTGCATCATGTACTAGGACATGTTGTAGGACTATTATACTACAGGTTGTACTAAAACCTTGTAGGACTATTATACTACAGGTTGTACTAAAACCTTGTAGGACTATTATACTACAGGTTGTACTAAAATCTTGTATGTAGGACTATTATATTACAGGTTGTACTAAAATCTTGTATGTAGGACTATTATAGTACAGGTTGTACTAAAACCTTGTATGTAGGACTATTATACTACAGGTTGTACTAAAACCTTGTACGACTATTATACTACAGGTTGTACTAAAACCTTGTACGTAGGACTATTATACTACAGGTTGTACTAAAACCTTGTATGACTATTATACTACAGGTTGTACTAAAACCTTGTACGACTATTATACTACAGGTTGTACTAAAACCTTGTACGACTATTATACTACAGGTTGTACTAAAACCTTGTATGTAGGACTATTATAGTACAGGTTGTACTAAAACCTTGTATGTAGGACTATTATACTACAGGTTGTACTAAAACCTTGTATGTAGGACTATTATACTACAGGTTGTACTAAAATCTTGTACGACTATTATACTACAGGTTGTACTAAAACCTTGTATGTAGGACTATTACACTACAGGTTGTACTAAAACCTTGTATGTAGGACTATTATACTACAGGTTGTACTAAAACCTTGTACGACTATTATACTACAGGTTGTACTAAAACCTTGTACGACTATTATAGTACAGGTTGTACTAAACCTTGTATGTAGGACTATTATACTACAGGTTGTACTAAAACCTTGTATGTAGGACTATTATAGTACAGGTTGTACTAAAACCTTGTATGTAGGACTATTATACTACAGGTTGTACTAAAACCTTGTATGTAGGACTATTATACTACAGGTTGTACTAAAACCTTGTATGTAGGACTATTATAGTACAGGTTGTACTAAAACCTTGTAGGACTATTATACTACAAGTTGTACTAAAACCTTGTAGGACTATTATACTACAGGTTGTACTGAAACCTTGTATGTAGGACTATTATAGTACAGGTTGTACTAAAACCTTGTATGTAGGACTATTATAGTACAGATTGTACTAAAACCTTGTAGGACTATTATACTACAGGTTGTACTAAACCTTGTATGTAGGACTATTATAGTACAGGTTGTACTAAAACCTTGTAGGACTATTATACTACAGGTTGTACTAAACCTTGTATGTAGGACTATTATAGTACAGGTTGTACTAAAACCTTGTAGGACTATTATACTACAGGTTGTACTGAAACCTTGTATGTAGGACTATTATAGTACAGGTTGTACTAAAACCTTGTATGTAGGACTATTATAGTACAGGTTGTACTAAACCTTGTATGTAGGACTATTATAGTACAGGTTGTACTAAAACCTTGTATGTAGGACTATTATAGTACAGGTTGTACTAAAACCTTGTATGTAGGACTATCATACTACAGGTTGTACTGAAACCTTGTATGTAGGACTATTATAGTACAGGTTGTACTAAAACCTTGTAGGACTAGGACTATTATACTACAGGTTGTACTAAACCTTGTATGTAGGACTATTATAGTACAGGTTGTACTAAAACCTTGTAGGACTATTATACTACAGGTTGTACTGAAACCTTGTATGTAGGACTATTATAGTACAGGTTGTACTAAAACCTTGTATGTAGGACTATTATAGTACAGGTTGTACTAAACCTTGTATGTAGGACTATTATAGTACAGGTTGTACTAAAACCTTGTATGTAGGACTATTATAGTACAGGTTGTACTAAAACCTTGTATGTAGGACTATTATACTACAGGTTGTACTAAAACCTTGTATGTAGGACTATTATACTACAGGTTGTACTAAAACCTTGTACGACTATTATACTACAGGTTGTACTAAAACCTTGTACGACTATTATAGTACAGGTTGTACTAAAACCTTAAAGGAATTTCAATTCTAGTAGGTTTCAAATTGGGCAAAACTTTTCAAATGTTTTCTGTTGCATGTTATAAAGGCTTGTAAAAAACTCTATAAAACATTTTTATTGAAGCTCAAACTAACTTTTTTTCAAAAGATCACTATTTAGTAAGTAGTTCATTACATGAATGGTACTATTAAACCAATCACTTATCTGTATGTGAGTTATTAGAACGTATGATAAACCTCCTCTAAATTTGATGAATGAACAGCATTATTAAATGCATTATGTTTAATCTGGGTTTGATGGAGTTTCCAAAATACTTGTGAATGTATCACTTTTGATGGTTTTCTTTCCATATGTTGTCGAAGTCCTGTACTATACAGAGCACAAATGTATAAATATGTGTTGTAAATGCCAGCTGGTCATTGTCTTAAGACTTTTAAATAAGAGTGATATTACGATGTTTTCTTTCATTGTTTTTAGCTGTATTTGGCAGCTTGGTATTGTGAATGAAGATTTGTTTGTTCTTTGACTTTTTATATACATATTGTACTATAAATCCACTTTATAACTAAGGTAGCAGATTTTCTATGAGAAAGCTGCCCCATTTTTTGTACCTTTCATGTTAAAGCCAAAATATCTTTTATTGATTCAATTGTCACTGGTATATTCTTAGTATTCACAGCAGGCTAATATCATGAATATTATCATTAATAAGTCAGTTCAGATTGATCTCCTATGAAGGCCCATAAACCCCATAAACAGTCTCCTTGTAGTAGCTGGTACTACTTCACTGAACAACATACAGAAGGTCTGCCACAGCACTCAAGGTGTCTTGCCATAGGACACTACAGTGATTTTAGGCACTGAGATATATGAATCCTGGATATGTGCTTTTCCTTTGGGATTCACTCAAATTTTGAGAACCACTATATCTCTTCAGTAATGGACTCATCAAAGTTTTGGTGTTCTGGAATCGCAGGAAAAATCCTACAAAAGTTTCTGCACAGCCATAACAGCACAGAAATGTCCATTTCCCAGCTTCCTGTGACACACAAATCACCATGAGTTGTTAGTTTCACATCACTAACCTCAGGTCTGTCTTAGCTTTAAAAGGCCAACATATTTCCAACTGATCTGTCGAGGTCCCTGTAGACAAATGAATGAAATATACCATACACAAAGTAGTCCATCGACCCGATGAATTTCATAGTGAAATTAACTTTCAAGGATTTATGTTGTTGTTTACATATGCCTTGATTCTTTCTGTGGTCTTTCCATAGGAGAAGATATTGTCTTAAAGAAGCACTCTTGTTACGATCTCTGTGTTTGTTGTTATCAACATTTAAATATTATCATTTAGCAGTGTCTATACCTTACACTGTCAAATATTCAAAAATATAAATATCTAATATAATATGGTTAGTCACTGACATATGTAAAATTAAAAATCATTCTTGTTGATGTAGATTTTCAGAAAAGATAACTTAAATTTCAAGAATTGAAAATACCGGTAGGTAAAATAAAAATTAAATCAACATACAGGACACAAATCCAGTTCAGAAAGGGTGATGATTGCCACTTAAGCAAATAAACCTAACACCATGTGGGACACAACATATATCAGATAAACATAACACACTGTGGGACACAACATATTGGTCAAAATAAACCTAACACACTGTGGGACACAACTTACTGGTCAGATAAACCTAACACCTTGTGGGACACAACTTACTGATCAGATAAACCTTACACACTGTGGGACACAACTTACTGGTCAGATAAACCTAACAACCTGTGGGACACAACTTACTGATCAGATAAACCTAACACACTGTGGGACACAACTTACTGGTCAGGTAAACCTAAAACACTGTGGGACACAACTTACTGGTCAAATAAACCTAACACACTGTGGGACACAACTTACTGGTCAGATAAACCTAACAAACTGTGGGACAGAACTTACTGGTCAAATAAACCTAACACACTGTGGGACACAACTTACTGGTCAGATAAACCTAACAAACTGTGGGACAGAACTTACTGGTCAGATAAACCTAACACCCTGTGGGACAAAACTTACTGGTCAGATAAACCTAATACCCTGTTGGACACAACATATTGGTCAGATAAACCTAACACACTGTGGGACACAACTTACTGGTCAGATAAACCTAACACCCTGTGGGACACAACATATTGGTCAGATAAACCTAACACACTGTGGGACACAACTTACTGGTCAGATAAATCTAACACCCTGTGGGACACAACATATTGGTCAGATAAACCTAACACTGTGGGACACAACTTACTGGTCAGATAAACCTAACACACTGTGGGACACAACTTACTGGTCAGATAAACCTAACACCCTGTGGGACACAACATATTGGTCAGATAAACCTAACACACTGTGGGACACAACTTACTGGTCAGATAAATCTAACACCCTGTGGGACACAACATATTGGTCAGATAAACCTAACACTGTGGGACACAACTTACTGGTCAGATAAACCTAACACACTGTGGGACACAACTTACTGGTCAGATAAATCTAACACCCTGTGGGACACAACATATTGGTCAGATAAACCTAACACACTGTGGGACACAACTTACTGGTCAGATAAACCTAACACCCTGTGGGACACAACATATTGGTCAGATAAACCTAACACACTGTGGGACACAACTTACTGGTCAGATAAACCTAACACACTGTGGGACACAACATATTGGTCAGATAAACCTAACACACTGTGGGACACAACTTACTGGTCAGATAACCCTAACATACTGTGGGACACAACATATTGGTCAGATAAACCTAACACACTGTGGGACACAACTTACTGGTCAGATAAACCACTCCCATCGAACAGGACAGCTGAATACAATTATTGATTGGTAGTTATCATAATAAATGGATCTACAGAATGTGTCAGATTAGAATGCCTGATAAGGCAGGTTTAACCCTTCCGATATAGATAATGGGGGAAGTTAGAAAAGTTTCTGCCCCCATCAGGATAGACTCTTCGGTCAACTGGAAATTTTTTCCATATCACTGGATAGTCAGGATTCTGTGTGGATTCTGTGTCAGTTTAATGTGTGTTAAACTTTTGTTTGTTGAACCCATATACATGATGTATACATGTATACCTAATATAACAATTATCATAATCATATACCTTCTATTAGGTTATAGTAAGATGGTATACATTCCGCAAACTATAATGTCAAACCTGTCTATAAAGGTCACTAAATGCAACTTGAGAAAATGAACTTTCTACAGAAGTTCATTTACTATCTGTTGTACTACACTGTGCTGAAACAAACTGGGTGTTATAGATATTTGTTTTATATATATCTACAGATGGCCTTTATAAAGAGTTTCAAGATGTATCATATATGTATGAGAAACCAACTGGCCTTTATAGACAGGTGTTTGTTATATACAGGTAAACTGTTAGCTGATGTCCTTTTTAGACAGGTAAATATAGACATGTATGACTGTAAATAGTAACATGTCATCATTATCTAAATGATTAGATAAATATTTCATTAATTCACGGCTTGATTGACATATGAAGATGTTATACTCTTTTAAGGGTAGAATATTTGTTGAAACACTTGGAAGTTTGGTGATCTCATCAGATAAATGAAGCTTTACATCAGCATTTTGGATCAGAAAAATAGAATATTTGCATATTTTTATGGTGCTAAAAAAGCCTGTCAAATCATGTTGAGTCCTGACAGATGCTCAAATCACTGTTTTAAACACAATTACAAAAATTGCACTTATGTCAAAACATGGCTGGCAGAAACAAATGAGACTAGTGATATGTAGACAGAGTTTCTGTCTACACATACCTGGTGATTGATTGTGCTATCAGTTGTTGTCTGTCCCACACACCTATGTCACTTCATGGTACCAGTAATGCTGTCGTCAGTGACGTCCACTATGCACAATGTGATAAATATTTATGCAAGTTATATATATATACCATTAAATATTTATTGATATTCATTTAATGATTTCCTTGTTTTTTTGTTTGTTTTGTTTTTCAAACTATTTCTATAATGGAACAACAGTGTATAATCAAGCTGAATTACCCCACTAGAGAGCTTTTTTCATGAAATTGTAATGATGACCTTGACCCTTCAACCCTGTAACTCACACTTGTTTGATATTATGGTCATTTATATGAATGCAGGCTGTCAACCAATTCCTAAATTTTCCGATATTTTGGTTAAAAAACCTCTATTTTGTAACACCTATATTTCCGATATTTTCCGATTTTTTGAAAAATATTCCTATATATGTTAGTCAGTAACAAGTTATCTCCCTTTGTATAACGGAATACATTTAGAATATCTCAGCTCAATTACAGTACCTTCCATCAGGCCAAGGTATTCCTAACAAACAAAAAAGTCAATAACAGGTTATCTCCCTTTGTATAACAAAATACATTTAGAACATCTCAGCTCAATTACAGTACCTTCCATCAGGCGAAGGTATTCCTAACGAACAAAAAAGTCAATAACGAGTTTCCTTCTATTGTATAACGAAAAAGATTTATTGAACAAATTAAAAGAAGATCATTTGAAACTCTGACTTTTTAAAGAGAGAGTAAACTGTAAGTTGTATTTTACCACTGTTATTAACATTAATGTAATGATAATGTATCATTTTATGCCATGTTTTTATAACATTTTCTGCATCGTGGCAGAAAGTCAATAAAACAGCGACATTTTTGTCCATAAAACAGGATCCAATTTGTTATTAACAGCACCAAAAAGAAATTTTCATTAACTCACGAATAATATAACTACAGTAATATCAGTTTAAATATGATACTGTAAAATCACTATTTTTGAGAGGCTTGAATATCCTTGGCACTTGATTTCATGGTTAAATACTGCTAGTACTATAATTCATGTCAATTTTTATTCATCTATCACTTTGTGGAGATATAACGTGGGTAAGAAATACCCACCAATTCAGCAAAAATGAATACCTCATGAAAATTGATGATTTTGCATTTTTTGGGGTTTTGTGCTGTCAAACATGGTCCCATGATTTCTTGATGAAAAATTCACTTTCATGTAAAATTAATGTCACATCCTCTTTTCTCTCCGTTTGAAACACTCACACACCTCACAGTTTGTGAAATCTATGGCCGCCATCAAATGAACTCAATCACACAATTTTTCCTGCTGTTTTAGTAGCACATTGACACGTATCACAAACCATACATTTCACATGTTCAAATTTTAATCATTTGTTGTGCTTCATGTCAATTTTTCCTGCTGACCTCTGATCATGAATATCTTTTCTCATTCCTTGACAGATCCAACAGAACATCTGTGTAACAAAACATCTCGGCCATGATTTAAAGATTTAGGAGAAATTATCAGTATTACAACCATAAGACTGAAGTTAAAGATCAAGATTTGCCGAACACTGATTGTATCTCATCCGTGAGTCCGACCTCCTTTAGAGCTATCTTCAGTGTTCCTTCTGTAGCACGTTCACCCTCGTTACCCTGAAATAAACACCAATAAAAACGATTAGTCAATATTTAAAATTTGTCTTAAGAACTTCATGTTCCCTCAATTGACTGTCAGGGATATAAAGATTCCTTTTACCATGTATAAAATTCAAGCTTCTAATAACCTCAAAAGTCCGTTAAAGACAATAAACCAATGTATGTGAGGTAAGTGCATCTGTTTGTGAAAGGCAGCAATATAAAGTTATAAAATATAATAATATAAAATCATAAAGCTATCTTACTAAAGTAAACTGTCAAAAAGGCACCGGACATGATGTCCCCAAAGGGCCACTTAATACGGATGATGGACGGAGCAATTGTTACTGTCAAAATGGCACCGGACATGATGTCCCCACAGGGCCACTTTATAAGGATGATGGACGGACCAATTGTTACTGTCAAAAAGGCACTGGACATGATGTCCCCACAGGGCCACTTTATACGGATGATGGACGGAGCAATTGTTACTGTCAAAAAGGCACCGGATATGATGTCCCCAAAGGGCCACTTTATACGGATGATGGACGGACCAATTGTTACTGTCAAAAAGGCACCAGATATGATGTCCCCACAGGGCCACTTTATACGGATGATGGACGGACCAATTGTTACTGTCAAAAAGGCACTGGACATGATGTCCCCACAGGGCCACTTTATACGGATGATGGACGGAGCAATTGTTACTGTCAAAAAGGCGCCGGACATGATGTCCCCACAGGGCCACTTTATACGGATGATAGACGAACTAATTGTTACCAAACCACTATGCTGGCAGTATTGACTACCAAACACTTTACTCTCAGTTTTACAATATTATTTTACCAAAACTTTGTCACCACCTCACAACTGTTGACTGATGATGACCCTGTGACAGCATATTTTCTTTTCCCTTGTCGGGTTAAACATCTCTCAAAGTATACATCATCAGCTTTCTTAATGAAAATAAATCTTCCTATCTTAGCAATGAAGCTTTCAAACCACTTCTTTTTGGAGGAAATATCATCCCTGTCCAAACCACTTCTTTTTGGAGGAAACATCAACCCTGGCCAAACCACTTCTTTTTGGAGGAAACATCAACCCTGGCCAAACCACTTCTTTTTGGAGGAAACATCAACCCTGGCCAAACCACTTCTTTTTGGAGGAAACATCAACCCTGTCCAAACCACTTCTTTTTGGAGGAAACATCAACCCTGTCCAAACCACTTCTTTTTGGAGGAAACATCAACCCTGGCCAAACCACTTCTTTTTGGAGGAAACATCAACCCTGTCCAAACCACTTCTTTTTGGAGGAAACATCAAACCTGTCCAAACCACTTCTTTTTGGAGGAAACATCAACCCTGGCCAAACCACTTCTTTTTCGAGGAAACATCAACCCTGGCCAAACCACTTCTTTTTGGAGGAAACATCAACCCTGGCCAAACCACTTCTTTTTGGAGGAAACATCAACCCTGGGTTGAAACTCCTTCAGTGAGGACACGTTTTTCTGTAAAACAAAACTGGACTTACCAGCCAGACGGTGAGCATCTTTAATGCTTGCTGTTTTTCGTCACTGTTCTCTGTTTCAAAATAAGTGATATCATCCTCAGGGAAGTTGAGTTCTGTAGCTAGTTTCTTCCATTCCCCTTTCAGAGCAGTTGCTAGGAGGTCCAATGTGGGCTGTGTGAGAGTGTCCTCTGTATTGTCTTTACCTGCAAGCAGTCGAGTCACATAAATACCAAGGCATAGATTGGAAACATTTGAAACCTAAATGTTCATGTGGATATTTAATACATAAATCAATCCTATCTGATATCCTATGTGTGATATCATAAATCTAGTATCTAAAATCTTATATCCTAAATCTAGTATACTAAATCTGATATCATCAATCTTGTATCCTACATCTAGTATCCTAAATATGATATCCTAAATCTAGTATGCTACATCTAGTATCCTAAATCTGATATCCTAAATCTAGTATCCTAAATCTGATATCCTAAATCTTGTATCTAAAATCTGATATCCTTAATCTAGTATCCTAAATCTAGTTTCCTAAATATATGTCCTAAATCTAGTATCCTAAATCTAGTATCCTAAATCTGATATCCTAAATCTAGTATCCTACATCTAGTATCCTAAATCTGATATCCTAAATCTAGTATCCTAAATCTGATATCCTAAATCTTGTATCTAAAATCTGATATCCTTAATCTAGTATCCTAAATCTAGTTTCCTAAATCTATGTCCTAAATCTAGTATCCTAAATCTAGTATCCTAAATCTGATATCCTAAATCTAGTATCCTACATCTAGTATCCTAAATCTGATATCCTAAATCTAGTATCCTAAATCTGATATCCTAAATCTAGTATCCTAAATCTTGTATCTAAAATCTGATATCCTAAATCTTGTATCTAAAATCTGATATCCTAAGTCTAGTATCCTACATCTAGTATCCTAAATCTAGTATCCTAAATCTTGTATCTAAAATCTGATATCTTAAATCTTGTATCTAAAATCTGATATCCTAAATCTTGTATCTAAAATCTGATATCCTAAGTCTAGTATCCTACATCTATATCCTAAATCTGATATCCTAAATCTTGTATCTAAAATCTGATATCCTAAGTCTAGTATCCTACATCTAGTATCCTAAATCTGATATCCTAAATCTAGTATCCTACAACTAGCATCCTAAATCTGATATCCTAAATCTAGTATCCTAAATCTAGTATCCTAAATCTTGTATCTAAAATCTGATATCCTAAATCTTGTATCTAAAATCTGATATCCTAAGTCTAGTATCCTACATCTAGTATCCTAAATCTGATATCCTAAGTCTAGTATCCTACATCTAGTATCCTAAATCTGATATCCTAAATCTAGTATCCTAAATCTTGTATCTAAAATCTGATATCCTAAATCTTGTATCTAAAATCTGATATCCTAAGTCTAGTATCCTACATCTAGTATCCTAAATCTAGTATCCTAAATCTTGTATCTAAAATCTGATATCTTAAATCTTGTATCTAAAATCTGATATCCTAAATCTTGTATCTAAAATCTGATATCCTAAGTCTAGTATCCTACATCTAGTATCCAAAATCTGAAATCCTAAGTCTAGTATCCTACATCTAGTATCCTAAATCTGATATCCTAAGTCTAGTATCCTACATCTAGTATCCTAAATCTGATATCCTAAATCTTGTATCTAAATCTGATATCCTAAATCTTGTATCTAAATCTGATATCTTAAATCTTGTATCTAAAATCTGATATCCTAAGTCTAGTATCCTAAATCTGATATCCTAAATCTTGTATCTAAATCTGATATCCTAAATCTAGTATCCTAAATCTGATATCCTAAATCTTGTATCTAAATCTGATATCCTAAATCTTGTATCTAAAATCTGATATCCTACATCTAGTATCCTAAATCTGATATCCTAAATATTGTATCTAAATCTGATATCCTAAATCTTGTATCTAAATCTGATATCCTAAATCTTGTATCTAAATCTGATATCCTAAATCTTGTATCTAAAATCTGATATCCTACATCTAGTATCCTAAATCTAGTATCCTAAATCTTGTATCTAAAATCTGATATCCTAAATCTAGTATCCTAAATCTGATATCCTAAATCTAGTATCCTAAATCTGATATCCTAAATCTAGTATCCTAAATCTGATATCCTAAATCTAGTATCTAAAATCTGATATCCTAAATCTAGTATCCTAAATCTGATATCCTAAATCTAGTATCCTAAGTCTGATATCCTAAATTCAATATTATAGATCTTTCCCATGAAGGTATGAAATAGGAAGGCACACATCACTGTATCACTGATAACAATGTCAATATTACATTTCAATCTCAGTCAAACACTGGAGAAGTTTAAATATGAATTCTAAACCTGCCGATCATGATCTAATTCTGACTATAAATTTTTCATATAAACAGATTCTTGTGCTCCACAGCCAATATATCTGCACATTACCTTGTTCATCATTCTGTTCTTCAATCTCTTGTCGTTCCTGGATAGCTTCTTCCTCCTCACCGATTTCTGTTTTCATCTCCTCATTACTGGCTGTCTGTGGAATTTCCTTGGCAATTTTATTTAGCATTGCTTCTAGATACTCAGACAAGGGGATAGCAGGCTTGTTGGTATGTGTGAAAAAATGGGGACTACGCCGTGCCAACAAACGTAAGGACTTCCATTGGAATATCTGTTCATTAATCAATCTGGACGAAAAAAGCAGATTACATCACAGGTTCGTTTACAGTGATCATTATTTTCACCATAATTATATCATCAAGAATCTTGAAATAAGTTTAAGAAAAATTATTTCAACATTTCAACAAAGTCAAAATTTGAATACACATGATTCTCTCAATTTGTCTCTCTACAAAGAAATTCCTGTTGATTATGCCTGGTGTTAAATCTAATACTGGTCAAGATTACACTCAACAGAATTCAAGTTTACACCCAACACAGTTCAAGTTTACACTCAACACAATTCAAGTTTATACTCAATACATTTCAAGTTTACACTCAACACAATTCAAGTTTACACCCAACACAATTCAAGTTTACACACAACACATTTCAAATTTACACCCAACACGATTCAAATTTACACCCAACACAATTCAAGTTTACACCCAATACAATTCAAATTTACACCCAACACAATTCAAGTTTACACACAACACATTTCAAGTTTACACACAACACATTTCAAGATTACACTCAACAGAATTCAAGTTTACACCCAACACAGTTCAAGTTTACACTCAACACAATTCAAGTTTATACTCAACACAGTTCAAGTTTACACTCAACACAATTCAAGTTACACCCAACACAATTCAAGTTTACACCCAACACAATTCAAGTTTACACCCAACACAATTCAAGTTACACCCAACACAATTCAAGTTTACACCCATCACAATTCAAGTTTACACCAACACATTTCAAGTTTACACACAACACAATTCAAGTTTACACACAACACAACTCAAGTTTACACACAACACAATTCAAGTTTACACCAACACAATTCAAGTTTACACCCAAAACATTTCAAGTTTACACACAACACAATTCAAGTTACACCCAACACAATTCAAGTTTACACACAACACATTTCAAGTTTACACCCAACACAATTCAAGTTACACCCAACACAATTCAAGTTTACACCCAACACAATTCAAGTTTACACACAACACAATTCAAGTTTACACCCAACACAATTCAAGTTTACACCCAACACAATTCAAGTTTACACACAACACATTTCAAGTTTACACCCAACACAATTCAAGTTACACCCAACACAATTCAAGTTTACACCCAACACAATTCAAGTTTACACACAACACAATTCAAGTTTACACCCAACACAATTCAAGTTTACACCCAACACAATTCTATTGCTCTTGAATAATCAGAAAAAAAGTTTTGTGGTTTCATTGACTGCTTGTTTAAATTTGAATTTTTTTTTTCTTTGCATGAAAATCATGAAATAGACAACTGACAGTTCTCTTTTTAATTTCATTTTCAAGGTAACTTACACTTCCTTTCCAGTTTTATTCCATGCACGCACACACACACACAAATTTCCATCAAATATCAATATTTCACGGTTAGTTTGAAAGTTTACTTGTATTCATCTTCTATCATGGCTTCAGGGTCGGCTTGTTCCATTGCTTCAGCAAAATACTCCTCTAACGTCGGTAGAAATACTCTGTAAATGGAATGGTACAGTTAGAATTACAGCTATGTGATGTTCAGTCATCCACCACTAGGATATCCCGAGGGTATGCAGGGCGTCCCACTAGGGGTAATAAAAAATCCAAGAAGTGGTAGGACACAACAAGTCAGGGATGATAGGTTCGAGGTTTATTTACTGTTGACTCAAGTTTCGCCTGTGAAGGCTACGACGGGACAGTTTTCACATATTTTGAAATTTTGAATTTTTGATTTTCTCAACATGAAGGATTGGTCTCTATAGACAGGTTTTTCTAAGGTTTCACTAGAAAGATTTTTCTCATTAGGAAGGATGGGTCTCTCTGGACAGATTTTTTGCCTAGATAGAAATGGGTATTCCTTCTGGACAGATTTTTTGCCTAGATAGAAATGGGTATTCCTTCTGGACAGATTTTTTGCCTAGATAGAAATGGGTATTCCTTCTGGACAGATTTTTCTCTGAAAGCGTTTCTATACTCTTTTAAGGCTTGAAGATAAAGGTACCTTTTGTCTGCCCGACATGCTGCCATGTTGTTAGGGTTGATATTCCACAGGCGTGTTAATTCCGAACTCCCCATTTTGATAATCTTTCCACCACTAGCCTGAAGATCATCTCCAACCCATCGTCGCTTTGCCCTGGAAAGAAAGTACCATATCTAAAGTTTCTACAACAGGACAACCCTGAAAAGTGCTGCGAAATGAATTCAACATTAACAGATGAAATTCTTACATCAAACTGGGTTTTCTTTTTCAGATTAATAGGAATAAATTCATTCAGCTATATAATATTATTGTTAAATACTAAGAGAACACTTTCAAATTTTCCATTTGATCTTCTTTGTTATAATATGGATGATGTATTTCGTTTTATTTTTAGAAATTTAAATCTATATTTCAATATGACACTTCAATTGGTTATTATAACCATAATCAATGAAGAGATTCAGTGAACCATGTCATTCCTGCACTCCAAAATAAATATCAGTGAACCATGTCATTCCTGCACTCCGAAATAAATATCAGTGAACCATGTCATTCCTGCACTCCAAAATAAATAAGGTTAGTATCTTTGATGTATGTCTTATGTAATACCACAGATCCAAGTAGAGAAATTTAATCAGTAGAGCTTTACACTAGATTCCTCATACAGGAAGGCATTTATTGTAAAAGTTTCTCATGTAAAACAGGACTTAATGTTTACCTGTCTATAACTTACAACTATTACTGTTTCTCTCGCTCTCTCTTGTTTAATATCTACAACTATTACGGTTTTTCTCGCTCTCTTTTGTTTAATATCTACAACTATTACTGTTTCTCTCGCTCTCTCTTGTTTAATATCTACAACTATCATGGTTTTTCTCGCTCTCTTTTGTTTAATATCTACAACTATTACTGTTTTTCTCGCTCTCTTTTGTTTAATATCTACAACTATTACTGTTTCTCTCGCTCTCTCTTGTTTAATATCTACAACTATTACAGTTTTTCTCGCTCTCTCTTGTTTAATATCTACAACTATTACTGTTTTTCTTGCTCTCTCTTGTTTAATATCTACAACTATTACTGTTTATCTCGCTCTCTCTTGTTTAATATCTACAACTATTACGGTTTTTCTCGCTCTCCTTTGTTTAATATCTACAACTATTACTGTTTCTCTCGCTCTCTCTTGTTTAATATCTACAACTATTACTGTTTTTCTCGCTCTCTCTTGTTTAATATCTACAACTATTACGGTTTTTCTTGCTCTCTTTTGTTTAATATCTACAACTATTACTGTTTCTCTCGCTCTCTCTTGTTTAATATCTACAACTATTACTGTTTTTCTCGCTCTCTCTTGTTTAATATCTACAACTATTACTGTTTCTCTCGCTCTCTCTTGTTTAATATCTACAACTATTACTGTTTTTCTCGCTCTCTTTTGTTTAATATCTACAACTATTACTGTTTTTCTCGCTCTCTCTTGTTTAATATCTACAACTATTACTGTTTTTCTCGCTCTCTCTTGTTTAATATCTACAACTATTACTGTTTTTCTCGCTCTCTCTTGTTTAATATCTACAACTATTACTTTGTACTTGCTTTGACGTCTGCCTTTTTCTCTCTCGTTTATAATTCACAACTATTACTGTGTTTTTACTTTGGGTTTGTGCTTTTTTTCTCTCTCTCGTTTATAATTCACAACTATTACTTTGTTCTTTGTTTGGCATCTGTGCATTTTTCTCTCTCGTAAGTTGGACAGCCGTCATTTTTCCAATCGTTCCAGTACTCCTCTCTGGACAATATGTGCTACAATAGACAGAACAGAAAATCTGACAGGTTTCAAATACTGAAAATAGACTTGGGCGGCTAATACTGATAATAGACCAAGGTATATCTGGCACAGGAAACAGATTCAGGTTTCTGAAACGGAAAATAGACTTGGGTATCTGACACAGAAAATAGATTTGTAATAACAATATAGATAAATTACATGTACATATGTACTCATTTCATTCCATCTCGCACACATGATATAGACAATTCATATTACAGTCAATAAAACAAAACTAAATTCACTTTTGATACGCTACTAGAATGAAGCTACAGATAATATTAACATAAATTCACTATGAATGAAGAAACATATGAATCTGGTGGCACTGATGGCACTGGTGGCACTGGTGGCACTGATGGCACTGATGGCACTGGTGGCACTGATGGCACTGATGGCACTGATGGCACTGATGGCACTGGTGGCACTGATGGCACTGGTGGCACTGGTGGCACTGATGGCACTGATGGCACTGATGGCACTGGTGGCACTGGTGGCACTGATGGCACTGGTGGCACTGATGGCACTGGTGGCACTGATGGCACTGATGGCACTGATGGCACTGGTGGCACTGGTGGCACTGGTGGCACTGGTGGCACTGATGGCACTGATGGCACTGATGGCACTGGTGGCACTGATGGCAATGATGGCACTGGTGGCACTGATGGCACTGATGGCACTGATGGCACTGGTGGCACTGATGGCACTGGTGGCACTGGTGGCACTGATGGCACTGATGGCACTGATGGCACTGGTGGCACTGGAAAGTTTTTTTCTGTTATACTTTATACATTCTCTCGATTTATATATAGACTCTATCAATGGGAAATACTCTCAGTACTGCATTGTTCAAACACATAGACTCTATCAATGGGAAATACTCTCAGTACTGCATTGTTCAAACACATAGACTCTATCAATGGGAAATAGAAAGCCATTAGCATAGCCAGACAACAGCATAGTCAGCCAACAGCATATATAGCCAGCCAACAACATAGCCTGCCAACAGTATAGCAGGCCAACAGCATAGCCAGCCAACAGCATATATAGCCAGCCAACAACATAGCCTGCCAACAGTATAGCAGGCCAACAGCATAGCCTGCCAACAGCATAGCCAGCCAACAGCATATAAAGCCAGCCAACAGCATATATAGCTAGCCAACAGCATAGCCAGCCAACAGCATATATAGCTAGCCAACAACAAAGCCAGCCAACAGCATAGCCAGCCAACAGCAAAGTCAGCCAACAGCATAACCTGCCAACAACATAGCCTGCCAACAGCATAGCCAGCCAACAGCATATATAGCCAGCCAACAGCATATATAGCTAGCCAACAGCATATATAGCCAGCCAACAGCATATATAGCTAGCCAACAACCAGCCAAGAGCATAGCCAACCAACAACATAGCCAGCCAACAGCATAGTCAGCCAACAGCATAGCCTGCCAACAGCATAATTAGCCAACAGCATAGCCAGCCAACAGCATCGCCAGACAACAGCATAGCCAGCCAACAGCATAGCAGGCCAACAGCACAGCCAGCCAACAGCATAGCCAGCCAACAGCATATCTGCCCTGAGGTGAGATGGAAATTGGCAGCTGGATTGGAGGGGCCTTGCAAAATTGCAAAATGGTGATCAGTTTTCAGATTTACCATGCTGAGATGAATACTGAGGCAATCAGATTAAAGGGTAGATTAACATTAGGGAGATCTGTTTTAGTATTAGATTTTAGTATCACCAGCCGGCTACCAGGTTAATCTGATTTACAGTGCCCCACTGTATTTACACATCATCAGACATGGTAATAAAACCTGCAATCTTTATACAACAGACATCAATAGCTGGCAGACTGAAACCTCACCTCTACATTACGGGCAAACTGCTCTCCGTCTGGGGGTGTCTCTCTGATCAGTTGGTATACTTTTTCCTGTGTGTTTTTAACCCACTGACTTTGGTCATCTGTCAACGTCTGATTGCTCCTGTGAATTCATTACAAATTAAACTAAAAATTCTGTTTAAATATAGACACACCACTTCCAATAAGGATAGACACATAATTCTGTCCAAATATAGAAACACCACTTCCAATAAGGATAGACACATAATTCTGTCCAAATATAGACACACCACTTCCAATAAGGATAGACACATAATTCTGTCCAAATATAGACATACCACTTCAAATATGGATAGACACATAATTCTGTCCAAATATAGACATACCACTTCAAATAAGGATAGACACATAATTCTGTCCAAATATAGAAACACCACTTCCAATAAGGATAGACACATAATTCTGTCCAAATATAGACATACCACTTCAAATAAGGATAGACACATAATTCTGTCCAAATATAGACATACCACTTCAAATAAGGATAGACACATAATTCTGTCCAAATATAGACATACCACTTCCAATAAGGATAGACACATAATTCTGTCCAAATATAGACATACCACTTCAAATAAGGATAGACACATAATTCTGTCCAAATATAGACATACCACTTCAAATAAGGATAGACACATAATTCTGTCCAAATATAGAAACACCACTTCCAATAAGGATAGACACATAATTCTGTCCAAATATAGACATACCACTTCAAATAAGGATAGACACATAATTCTGTCCAAATATAGAAACACCACTTCCAATAAGGATAGACACATAATTCTGTCCAAATATAGACATACCACTTCAAATAAGGATAGACACATAATTCTGTCCAAATATAGAAACACCACTTCCAATAAGGATAGACACATAATTCTGTCCAAATATAGACATACCACTTCAAATAAGGATAGACACATAATTCTGTCCAAATATAGAAACACCACTTCAAATAAGGATAAACTTATATGTCTACTTTAAACACATTACATAAAATCACAATAAACTTGAAAATCATTTTGGGTGTCAACACAACCTTAAACCTGGACCAAAAATTAAATTGATTTCTCATCTTCCAAAAACACCCAATACAAAGTCATTTCAGAGAAAACACTTTTCTGTTGAAGAGTGAACATGCAATTAAAACAAAAGTTTTACTCTTACTTATAAACTTATCCACATGTAAACATCAAAATGTCACAACACAATGGACAATGTCACAACACAATGGACAATGTCACAACATGACAGACAATGTCACAACACAATGGACAATGTCACAACACAATGGACAATGTCACAACACCATGGACAATGTCACAACACAATGGACAATGTCACAACACAATGGACAATGTCACAACTCAATGGACAATGTCATAACACAATGGACAATGTCACAACCTGACTGACAATGTCACAACATGACAGACAATGTCACAACATGATAGATAATGTCAAAACACAATGGACAATGTCACAACATGACAATGTCACAACACAATTGACAATGTCACAACATGACAGACAATTTCACAACACAATGGACAATGTCACAACACAATGGACAATGTCACAACACAATGGACAATGTCACAGCCTGATAGACAATGTCACAACACAATGGACAATGTAACAACATGACAGACAATGTCACAACATGACAGACAATGTCACAACACAATGGACAATGTCACAACACAATGGACAATGTCACAACACAATGGACAATGTCACAACACAATGGACAATGTCACAACATGACAGACAATGTCACAACACAATGGACAATGTCACAACACAATGGACAACACAATGGACAATGTCACAACACAATGGACAATGTCACAACAAAATGGACAATGTCACAACACCATGGACAATGTCACAACACAATGGACAATGTCACAACACAATGGACAATGTCACAACACAATGGACAATGTCATAACACAATGGACAATGTCACAACCTGACAGACAATGTCACAACATGACAGCCAATGTCACAACATGACAGATAATGTCAAAACACAATGGACAATGTCACAACATGACAGACAATGTCACAACACAACTGACAATGTCACAACATGACAGACAATTTCACAACACAATGGACAATGTCACAACACAATGGACAATGTCACAACCTGATAGACAATGTCACAACACAATGGACAATGTCACAACACAATGGACAATGTCACAACATGACAGACAATTTCACAACACAATGGACAATGTCACAACACAATGGACAATGTCACAACACAATGGACTATTTCACAACACAATGGACAATGTCACAACACAATGGACAATGTCACAACACAATGGACAATGTCACAACATGACAGACAATGTCACTCACCCTTTAAACTTGACTTGTGAGTTGAGGTACTGGAAAAGGATGAGGAACTGGACAAGAACATACCTCCGGAAGTTACTATCATTTAGCTGCAGGTCCATCAACTGGTGATAAAGATAATAATAGTCACATGATCAAATTTTCAATATCTTGTCTGCATTATCACATATTTCTCCAAAGAATATTAGACCTATTATCAATTTTTAAAAATTTTTTCTGAGAATTTACTCATGTTAAGTTTTAATCATGATTAAACCTTCCACTTAAATTTCACTGTGTACACTGTATACAATAGCTAAGTATAACAAAATTGTTCAATATTTGACATTCAAGAATATTTATAATCATTATTAATATTTAACATGTACTTGCTCTCTTGCTGTAGATTTCTAATTCTTGTGATTAATGAAAGTTAGATTCTCCTCTAGGCTCTACCAACAAAACACACCTGTGCCTTCACCTGGTTTTTTTCATATTAGATATCCATGGCCTTCTTTATCATTACTTAGGTTTTGGTATATAAATCCATGATGATAATTTCATCTAGTGATGATCTGTTCAAAACATTTTATGCTAAAACAAGAAGCCTTGCAGCCTTGACAGTGGCCTGAGTTATGTAATGCTGTGTATATCTACAGAACGTTTTCATATGAACATAGTTTAGATACCTTTTCACTGGTCAAGTACTTGGCAAAAAAGGCTGTGGTGTCAGCTGGACGAGGCATTGCAACTTTTTTGCGTGAGGACTTCATGTCATCTAGTTTTGCACTATTGAAAGCACTGAGCACCTCATCTGAGTTCTGTGAAGGATAAAAAATAGCTCAAAAGTAAAATTTAAATCCACAGCCATCATTAAAATTTAAACAGGTGATTAGAAATCAGAATTTTAAGGAGACTAAAATTTCGTTTTACTTTAACTGAATGCACAAATCAATACTGACAACACAAGTCATACTGACTAAAACAAAATATCAGAGAAAGAAAGAATATTTTTCACTACTTTGTCATGAACTTGGGATATTCGATTATAAAGGATGTGTCACGTGGAATTAAACACACTGTTTAATATACAGTAATATATGTTTTTATTAAAAAAATCCAATATAACATATGTAATCTTCTATGTAATATTTAAATGAGAGTCACACATGAACACTTATACAGCAAAATATACCATTTGAAACATTTTCCAGGGAACTTTTTCATAGCACTGTGTTGGTTTTCTGAAGAAATCTTGTAATGCCCAGAACCTTCTGTATAAGTTGTAGTCCACTGGTCTAGGAAGAAAACAAAGAAAGGAAGTGTCACAATATCATGCTTTATAACAAGACCATGAAATATTTATTTATCAAAAAATACAACAAAGAACATGAAATTAGAACAAATGTTCTTAAATGATTGTCACAGTTAACAAAATTCTAAATGGTAACAACATTTCTCTACAGTAATCATGGCAACCATATTGCCCTGAGTGGCAGTTGGGGAAACAACACTGCTGTGAGTAGTTGTCATAGTAACCCAATTCTTTCTGAGTGGTTGTCATGGTTACCATACGGATCTGAATTTTTGTCACATTATCAATAATGTTGCCATAATTAACACAATACCCAAAAATGTATATCATCTATGTAATCTCGCAAAAAAACCCCACAAAAACTTTTGAGTTTGCACAAACGGAAAAAGCAAAGGTAAATGTGATTGTGGTTGTCATAGTAACACAGTGAAAACTTTACTTGTAAGTGGTTGTCCTCTGGTTAAAAACTATTATTTGAATCCAGCTGGTTGTCATAGTTTCTCTATTGTTTTAATTGATTTCTAAATTATTACTTTGGTTGGTCATCTGTTTCTCCATCTTCCACTTCCATTCCATCTCCCTTCAACTCCGTCTTCAACAGAAAACAAAGATCAATGACATTTCACACTGTCAGAGTACCTGTACCTACATCTCCCTTCAACTCCGTCTTCAACAGAAAACAAAGATCAATGACATTTCACACTGTCAGAGTATCTGGACCTACATCTCTGTGCATATAGTATAAGCAATCATTTTTCTTCTTCATTTCTGCTTCAATTATTTTCTCGGGCAATAAGCCTATGCCTGGTAATAAGCCCACCTATATCTATCACTACTCAGTGGAACTAGTAGAACTACAGATTGTTATGTCCTGAAATAAGCCCATTATCAGGTGAGTACCTGTTTATCTTCCCAGCATCACACACTGCCAGGAATACTACAGACATGATACAGGCAATTAAATATTTGAGAATTATGAAAATTTATATCATAAAAATAAGTTTAACAATACCATAAGACTGAGTACTTATAATAAGTGACAATATGTCTCAGAGTGGATGGTCCTACCTCAAATCTGTCTGCCTTAGTTGTGTAGGTTGTCACATTTTCTAAGTTGAACTGACTCATTAAATTTAATGCTGGAATAGAAAACACACTTCAATACACTGTCACATTAACAGCTAGTACAATTACACATCTAGAGGGATTTTTTTCACTATAACTACACCATTGTGGGTTACATTTTAAGATAGGTAGTTGTTATGTATAAGTGGCCTTTATAGACAGGTATTTGCTGTGTGCTGATGTTCTTTAGACAGGTATTTGTTATATACAAATGACCTTTATAGACAGGTATGTTATATATAGGTGGTTGTTAAAGACAGGTACTTGTTCACATACAGGAGGTTGTTAAAGACAGGTACTTGTTCACATACAGGAGGTTGTTAAAGACAGGTATTTGTTCAAATTCAGGTGGTCTTTAAAGACAGGTATTTGTTATATACATCTGACCGTTATAAAAAGGTATTTGTTATATACAGGTGGACTTTGTAGACAGGTATTTGTTATATACATGTGGCCTTTATAGACAGGTATTTATTATATACATGTGGCCTTTATAGACAGGTATTTGTTATATACAGGAGGGCTTTATAGACAGGTATTTGTTAAATATAGGTGGACTTTATAGACAGGTACTTGTTATATACATAAGGTCTTTATAGACAGGTATTTGTTTTATACAGGAGGATTTTATAGACAGGTATTTGTTAAATACAGGAGGACTTTATAGACAGGTATTTGTTATATACAAATGACCTTTATAGACAGGTATGTTATATATAGGTGGTTGTTAAAGACAGGTACTTATTCACAAACAGGAGGTTGTTAAAGACAGGTATTTGTTCAAATACAGGTGGTCTTTAAAGACAGGTATTTGTTATATACAGGAGGACTTTATAGACACGTATTTGTTAAATACAGGACTTTATAGACAGGTATTTGTTAAATACAGGTGGACTTTATAGACAGGTACTTGTTACATACAGGACTTTATAGACAGGTATTTGTTAAATACAGGTGGAATTATAGACAGGTATTTGTTATATACAGGTGGACTTGATAGACAGGTATTTGTATCAATTCATGATGTTCAGTGATGTACTCATCACCTACTACAAAGAGATCCTCATCTCAAAATGATCTTTTTCACCAGGCGATAAAACCAGAAAAAATAAAACAAAAACAAGCAGATTAAGAGAGGTAAGCGTTATCAATCGAATACCAATTTTCTGATAAACAAGACATTTTACATTTATCTTAGACTTACAATTACCGTAGCTGTACTGTGATTAAAGAGGTCCAACCAAAGTTTCTCACCTGATTTCTCTGACAGAGGAAATAGTCTAGACAGAAACAGCTGTATCCGTCCACAAAACACAGTGTTCTGAGACTTTGAGAGTCTGCGGAGAAGGTCTGAAAGAAAGTATACACAATACGTCTTAATTTGAGGACAAGAGTGTAAAGACATATTTTTTCATACAAAATGAAAGAAAATTCACAACCATTCAAGATATTTTTTTCTTAACATATTTCAAATATATCTCCTTCACCTACAATATCACAAATTTATCAAACATTTCAAAGGAAGTTCACATGAGAAAAATATATATTGTATTTATTCCATCCATCAGAAGAGATAAATTTATAAAATAATGAAAAATTCTCCTGAAGTAATATTCTTGAGTTTGAGTTTTTTCCATGTATATTTTGATATTCTGGTTAGTGATTTGACCTCTGGTTAGTGATTTGACCTCTGGTTAGTGATTTGACCTCTGATTAGTGATTTGACCTCTGGTTAGTGATTTGACCTCTGGTTAGTGATTTGACTTCTGGTTAGTGATTTGACCTGTGGTTAGTGATTTGACTTCTGGTTAGTGATTTGACTTCTGGTTAGTGATTTGACCTCTGATTAGTGATTTGACTTCTGGTTAGTGATTTGACTTCTGGTTAGTGATTTGACCTCTGATTAGTGATTTGACCTCTGGTTAGTGATTTGACTTCTGGTTAGTGATTTGACTTCTGGTTAGTGATTTGACCTGTGGTTAGTGATTTGACTTCTGGTTAGTGATTTGACCTGTGGTTAGTGATTTGACCTCTGGTTAGTGATTTGATATTCTGGTTAGTGATTTGACCTCTGGTTAGTGATTTGACTTCTGGTTAGTGATTTGACCTCTGGTTAGTGATTTGACCTCTGATTAGTGATTTGACTTCTGATTAGTGATTTGACTTCTGGTTAGTGATTTGACCTGTGGTTAGTGATTTGACCTGTGGTTAGTGATTTGACCTCTGGTTAGTGATTTGATATTCTGGTTAGTGATTTGACCTCTGGTTAGTGATTTGACCTCTGGTTAGTGATTTGACTTCTGGTTAGTGATTTGACCTCTGGTTAGTGATTTGATTTCTGGTTAGTGATTTGACCTCTGGTTAGTGATTTGACCTCTGGTTAGTGATTTGACCTCTGGTTAGTGATTTGACTTCTGGTTAGTGATTTGACTTCTGGTTAGTGATTTGACCTCTGGTTAGTGATTTGACCTCTGGTTAGTGATTTGATATTCTGGTTAGTGATTTGACCTCTGATTAGTGATTTGACCTCTGGTTAGTGATTTGACCTCTGGTTAGTGATTTGACCTCTGGTTAGTGATTTGATATTCTGGTTAGTGATTTGACTTCTGGTTAGTGATTTGACTTCTGGTTAGTGATTTGACCTCTGGTTAGTGATTTGACTTCTGGTTAGTGATTTGACCTCTGGTTAGTGATTTGAATTCTGGTTAGTGATTTGACCTCTGGTTAATGATTTGACCTCTGGTCAGTGATTTGACCTCTGGTCAGTGATTTGACTTCTGGTCAGTGATTTGACCTCTGGTTAGTGATTTGACCTCTGGTTAGTGATTTGATTTCTGGTTAGTGATTTGACCTCTGGTTAGTGATTTGATTTCTGGTTAGTGATTTGACCTCTGGTTAGTGATTTGACTTCTGGTTAGTGATTTGACCTCTGGTTAGTGATTTGACTTCTGGTTAGTGATTTGACCTCTGGTTAGTGATTTGACCTCTGGTCAGTGATTTGACCTCTGGTCAGTGATTTGACCTCTGGTTAGTGATTTGACCTCTGGTTAGTGATTTGACCTCTGATTAGTGATTTGACTTCTGGTTAGAGATTTGACCTCTGGTTAGTGATTTGATTTCTGGTTAGTGATTTGACCTCTGGTTAGTGATTTGACCTCTGATTAGTGATTTGACCTCTGATTAGTGATTTGACTTCTGGTTAGAGATTTGACCTCTGGTTAGTGATTTGATTTCTGGTTTGTGAATTGACTTCTGTGATGACCAAATGCCAGCTACAAGTCCTGCTGTTCCTTACCGTTACACATCCTGAGTAAGTAGTTTTTGCCTGCTGTATAAAACGTTTCCTTTAGTAAAAAAAAAAAACGGAAATAAACATCATTACTGACGGCTTTAGTTGATTTAATTCAATAAAGTGAGATCTACAGATTCTGATTTACTGTCAGCTTAGTACTGCTATACAATAACACCATCATGTCAACAAAATCTAAATTTAAACTCAATTCAATGAAACTAGGGCAAAATATGAAGGAAAGAAAAATTTACAAGGAAACACCTGAAAAAGTACAGGGCATGTAATCTTTTCAGATGCTATGCTTCACTGACAACAACAGCCATGTAAATCTTGGTAAATCAAAGTAAGTAATGTCACATTCTCAAATGATAAATAGGTTAATATCAAATATTGATATATTCATATCAGACATCCAATATATACAATTTTCACTCAATTTAATTCTCTTTAAAAAGACACATGAACTACATATCATAATAATTGAATTATCGACCTTTAATGAGGTAGAAACATGAATTTTTAAACCTAAGGAAGACACAATTATGATATTTATCACCAGACTGGTTAATATAAAAATGGTATATCATTTTAATGCTAGGTTTGTCACTTACAGACTTCCAGGTACTTAATCTGTCCTCCACGAGACAGAAGAGTTCCTCACATTGACTCAGGGTTACAACATCAAAGACATCAGACAAAAGAAGGAATGGTGTGGAAGGTGCACAAGCCTCTGAAGATAAAAACATCCATTATTTAATCTCTATTTTTATGCTTGGCTTACACAGTCCATTGATTGTACTGATTATTAAGCACGTTACAGTTTTACATCACAGGAAGATCAACATAGTTCTCAGTACATTAATCTATGATTGGTGAAGGTCTTTTTTTTAATCAGATATTTGAACTTCACTCATGAATATGGAGCGACATACTTGGCATGATTTACATAAAGTGCTCCTTCAGCCAACCATTATTACCATTATCCTAACATACCCACAACTAAACCCTAAAACTGATTTATTTCCTCTATAACTTAACCTGGCACACTTCCATTTGTCATATGCTTTGAAATACATGTTGTATTAAATCACTATGCATTTCTCTCAACAGAATCACAAGTTTGGTCAACATGGGTGTTCTATTTATAGACACTCAGGGAATCCCCATCTTCATTAGCATGAAAGGTGGCATTATAAAAATGCTTAGTTGGTCCATGTTTCAGTTATTTTTGGTGCATTGAATGTTCATAGAAGGACATGGTAGGGAGGTAACTCTGCCAGGTCAGAGTACCATTTTATATCTTGTAATAAAGCCAGCAATCCAACACATTTCGGTGGATAACACTACTACATCAAATGGTACACGTTGCGCTGTATACATACCCTGTGTGGCCAGTTCTACTGCAGTTTGTATAACGGACTGGCACACTTCGTAATTAGGATGGTTGGTCTGTAAACAGAAGCATCATAACAGAGATTACAAAGACTGAAAATGCAAGGATTCATTAAGTTACAAAGTTGTGTATAGGGTTTCAAAAGTTGTGTATAGGGTTTCAAAAGTTGTGTATGGGGTTGCAAAGTAGTGTTTAGGGTTACAAAGTTGTGTATGGGGTAACAAAGTTGTGTGTGTGGTTACAAAGTTGTATATGATGTTACAAAGTTGTGTATGATGTTACAAAGTTGTGTATGAGGTTACAAAGTTGTGTATGGGGTTACAAATTTGTGTATGTGGTTACAAAGTTGTGTATGGTGTTACAAAGTTGTGTATGGGGTAACAAAGTTGTGTATGGGGTTACAAAGTTGTGTATGGGGTAACAAAGTTGTGTATGTGGTTACAAAGTTGTATATGATATTACAAAGTTGTGTATGATGTTAAAAAGTTGTGTATGAGATTACAAAGTTGTGTATGGGGTTACAAAGTTGTGTATGAGGTTACAAAGTTGTGTATGAGGTTACAAAGTTGTGTATGGGGTTACAAATTTGTGTATGATGTTAAAAAGTTGTGTATGGTGTTACAAAGTTGTGTATGATGTTACAAAGTTGTGTATGGGGTTACAAATTTGTGTATGATGTTAAAAAGTTGTGTATGGTGTTACAAAGTTGTGTATGGGGTTACAAAGTTGTGTATGGGGTTACAAAGTTGTTTATGGGGTAACAAAGTTGTGTATGGGGTTACAAAGTTGTGTTTAGGGTTACAAAGTTGTGTATGGGGTTACAAAGTTGTGTATAAGGTTACAAAGTTGTGTATGGGGTTACAAATTTGTGTATGGGGTTACAAAGTTGTGTATGGGGTAACAAAGTTGTGTATGGGGTTACAAAGTTGTGAATGGGGTTACAAAGTTGTGTATGGGGTTACAAAGTTGTGTATGGGGTTACAAAGTTGGGTCATATTGAGTTTATAACCCAATGAACAGCCAGCTGGGTCATACTGAGGCAGAATTTCCTTTAGTAACTGGTGAAGTTTAGTGAGTTATATATCACACATGACCCATACATTTTCCTCATATGACGATAGTTTTGGGTGATTCTTTGTTCTATAATTTTTGTATTCATTATCACCAACAAACTCACCACAGAGGCATGCATGACATCTCTCAAAGCTTGATCCATAGCCAGCTTCTTCTCTGTGTCACTATAGTAAACAACAAGTTATTAATTATAATAAATAATTCATAATGACCTTATATGGACATATACATGTAGTGCAACTATTCATTTATAATGCCCGTATACACAGAGATAGTACTATGGTTTAGTTATAATGACATTCTATAAATAGATACATGTAATACAATAATTGATAATAACCCTATGGATGTATACATGAAGTATAATGATTAATTCATAACAACCTTATATGGACAGAAATTACTGATTCACTTGAATTGACCATAATTATAAATGTAGATAATGCACCAATACATTTACCTGTCTTTATACAGAGATTAATCTAGAAAAATTTTACTACCAGAGCAAGAGGCCCAATGGGCCTGCACTGATCACCTGATATATATATCATCCAAATATCATGGCTCTAAGCCTTTAAGTTCACAAGAAGAAGTTATGTAAAGGTTTTTTTTACAAATCTGACTACTGTGACCTTGAACATAGGTCAAGGTCATTCCATTTAATAAACTTTGTCGGACTTCATCATAGAAACATACCTTGCAAATATCATGCCTCTAGGCCTTCTAGTTCATGAGAAAAAGTAATTTAAATGTTTTAACAAATCTGACCACTATAACCCTGCATATAATTCAAGGTCATATCCTTTTAAAAACTTTTGTTAGGCTTCACTCTAGGAACATACGAGCCAATTATCATGCCTCTAGGCCTTTTAACAAATCTGACATCTATGACCTTGAATATATATCAAGGTCATTTATTTTCGCAAATTTTGTCAAGCTTCCTCATAGGAACATATCAGCCAAATATGCCTTTAAGCCTTTCAGTTCATGAGAAGAAGTAATTTGAAAGTTTCAACAAATCTAACCCCTATGCCCTTGAATATAAGTCAGTTGGTCCATTGCTTATTGAGAAGTTGTTTAAAGGAACAAGAGGCCTAATGGCCTTGATGGTCAACTGAGATAAGCAATATTGAATTTATAGATTTAACAGTAGTTATCAAGTGTCATGAAATAGAAATGAACCAACATTATGCTCAAAAATGCAATTTTTCTGTGAAAAATTCAGTAAAGGCTAAAAAAACATATTCCTCCCCAGGAAGAAATGTGAGACCCATTTTGGTTATTAAAGCACCTTAAGATGCTTCCATTCCTACAGAGCATTTGATTCTACCACCACATCTGGGTGTTGAGAAGATGAGAAGAAGATTTTTGAAACTTAAGTCAATCTGATTCCTTTTTACCCCACTCATCAGCCCCTGGGGGTCAGGATCAATATGGGCATACTATCAAACTGTTATCCTTCACTCATAACTCTAACCAAGTCTGAAGTATTTCCAATGGATATTAATCAAATTATGTTTTCCCCTCTGAATATGAAATCTTCCATTGAAAAAATATGCTGAAAACATAGAGAAGTTTCTCCAAAACAGAGAAAAATTTATACAAAACAGAGCTAATTAGTGTACATTTATACATTTTCGTGTCATGCTATCTTTTCTTCATGTATGACATATATATTATCCTATCCCTCCTTCTTTAGAATATTTTAGAATAGAGAACATGTTTTCAGAAATTTCTCAAAATAGGCCAATATTTCTCCTTTTTCCACAATGGGTAGTATCACAGCTTATTCTAGACAAAAACATGTTATATCAATTTGTAAATAGTAACTGCCATTATAAGAATCTCAGACTAATATACAGAAGGAGAAACACTTTAAGATATTGCTACATATTTACCCGCCATCATAAGAACGGAATTCTGCCACATATTTATCTGCTGCTTGGTTCTTGACAGTCTTCTCCACCAGGACCTGAAAGTGAAATGTTTCTTCTTGAAGTGATAACTTTTGTAGTCGTATCATTAAAATAAAACTTCAGTTACTTTCCAGAACTTAACCTATTCCAACTGAAGTTAATCTTTTTTGGCTCAGACGAATGCATACAATCTTACTGTTAAAGTCATTCACAGTTTCTGAGAAAGTCTTTGTTGAGAAAGGCTATGTGGGGAGGTAACGATGACCTGAAAGCTTACAATCCGCAGAATGTAAACCTATTATACATCTAGGTGAAAGTTGTATTGCTGATATACATCGTATGTTACATTCTTCAGTGCATTTATGGTATGAATGAAAGTTTTGAACAGCTACAAAAGTGTGTCAAAAAGATGAAGATAATTTTCTCTTTTCTTTCACTTCTGCTTATGAAGATGCAGTTTGTATGCAAATTTCTCCATAAAAAATATATGGTGTTTTGTCTGAAAGGCTGATCAAAGAAGTATAGAAAACTAAAGTGGAAGCCACTTTTGTTGTCAGAGATAGATATTCGTTGACATGGAGCTGTTGTAAAATCAAATAGAAAGCATCTACAAGAAAGATCCTCCTTATTGAATGAATTTCGACCTCATACTCTGTCAAAAGGAATACTTAAAAGATAAATGTATGTATTTGTAAAGAAAATGTGACAAGATGTGAGGTGTAAATTAAACAGAAAGTAAAAACTGTATGTAAACAAATGCATAATCTTTAGTGATGAGTGTAAGTTTGAACTAGACAACTCGGAGAAGAGTGGTCACCAACTCGCTGGAATCCTATCATGGAGCATGCATGAGTTGAATTACCAGGGAATGCATTATATATGATGGGAAAAATTATCGTTGTAAATATCAAGGCTTCTAAATGTATAGAGATCATTGTGCCTGGCCAGTTATTGCTCACCACTGCCCCAATAGTAACTATATACATCAAAACGATGCTCCCGTTCATGGAGTCTGAGCAGTAAAAGAATATATGTAACTAAACCACATTGTATGGAATGGCCTGCTCTAAGACCAGATACTGACATTACAGAAAAATGAAACAAAAACAGACTCAAATTAGGTCACTTTAAGATAACCTGGTTGTAATGATTCAGGTGGTCCAGAATTTTTTAATGATACATGAACACATCTGTACAGTTGTGGGATCGCACAAAGTTACACAATGTGTGATGTACACACCATGTCTGCAGGATGTGCACATGATAGGAAAATTGAACGAAATAAGTTATCATATATTTGTATGCACATTGTGCAGTTCTATCGCACAAAGGTGTGATTTTATCGTGGTTAATATAAATTAAGAAATTGTCATGTTAGTGTAGCAGGGTTATCCCCCTTCTCGGAACTCCTGTCTATATTTGGTAGCGGGATTTCCATTTTCTGTGTCGTATGCTTAACATTTCAAGATGTCGGACGTGTTTACATCGCTGAGCAATTCACACAGTACAATTCTAGGAATTTTACCGTCTCTAGTCCCCCAAAGAGTGAGTTTATTTCCCCATACAAGTTCAAGAATTATGTTCTTCCAATTGTTGTAAAATAGTCACTGCCTTTGATACGCTACGCAAGTTGGAACTTATTACCAATCTGCCAATTTTTCCACTGTCCCATTTTGACCCATAATGTTTTCATCCTGAATCGACCCACTATTTGCTCCCATCTCGATTTCGTGTTCTTTCTATGTTTTTGCTAAATATGAGCCGTAGTAGATTTTTCCCAATTACTCGTGTTGTGTGCCCAAATTTTGGTAAGTGACTTATGAGTGCTCATTTTGTTCTTTCAGTTTTTCACTACATACATGCTCACATCCGTAGTCTGATCTAAATACATACATCGATCAACATGTTGTACTTCGTTTGACTTCTACGTGTTAGCGACATACTTGAAGTATTGCTTTTTCTGGAATAAAATCGAAGTCAACATTTCTACATGCTTCAAGCGTTTTTCATTTTCATCGATCACAGGCTTGATAGAAATGACTTATAAATAAGCGTGGGAAAAAATGATTTATTTTCTAAATAATAAAATATATACGATAGACTAATTTAAGCAGGTCAAGTGTTATTTCGAAAACTGTCAAATTAAAAATGACTTTCATACTCACTGATCAATCCTTATGTTCATGTGATCGCTATTTAGTAATAACTTCAAGAATTTTTTGTTTCATTTTCAGTCTGTAATATTAGCCAACCATTTTTATCATACTGCACAAGACGTGCGAAATATATGTAAGCACTGAACCTGCTTTATAATGAAATTCAGAAAACTACTGATATTCAGCGAGGTATGACTGGATCCTTCAATCTGCTTGTGCTGAATATTCTATAGTTTGGCCTCAGTTCTGATCTATACCTGGCATTTTTCTTGCAGATTCAACTGGTCCAACAACAATGGCTTACATGCAAGCGACACTAATATTGCATGGCTAGGCAATCCGAACATTTGGATAGATAGAAAGACATGAATTTCAATAAAACCCATACCATTCAACCCCCTAAGTGTAACCTAGACTAAATGAAACTCAAAGTGTTATGTAAGTCAGTGATCATTTTGCTGGGAGATGCAAGTATAATATGCAAAGTGAATTTGTTACTGAAAATAGCCCTGAACCATCTCTTTCTTGTCAGTGTCTTTTTTCAGATATATGTCCCAAACTGAACTGACATATTTAAGTTGAGCGCGAACTGGAGATTTAATAGCTTTTTCTTTGATATTAGAAGATGAAGATTTTGGTGGTTTTCCTTGTGATGTTGTTGATTTGGGACGCCCGTTTCATGTCTGGTGGTAACACCGAGGTATTTGGCCTCAGACACTCCATGAAGCCTGTATTGGGGAGGGGGGCAATGGATTATTATTTCTAGTGATAGACCTAGATGGACTTCCACTTTCTCTCCCAATGACCCAGTCTGACAAGGTAGCTTTGCAGAGATTGTGCATCTCGCTCTGATGTTATTGAGATTTACCAAAGCATTACCTTAAAATCGTTCCTTGCTTTCCCGAACTCAAACATCATGGAAGCTGCCATTTTTGTGATTTACCACCAAACCTATGACGTACTACACACTTCCGGTTAAAGTTAGCAACTAAACAGTAGCAAGGGTGAGTGATTTTGCCACATATTAATAGCTGAATCGCTTTTTACGATTTGTACATTTATCTATGTTTGCTGTACTCTTACCTAAGATTATAGGACGATATTGCTGGTGCACAAATCTTTCCAAGACACGATAAAAAATTGAAACCAAATAAGCCACGTCAAAGTCCGGTACCGACGTTTACTGATAATAAGATATGATTAACTCCGTCAGGTAAGATGTGTTTCATGTATTCACATCCACAACAAAATGAAGTTTACGGGTACTCAAGTCTTAGACTGAAGGAAATATAGGCAATCAAACAATTCACACTTTGACTAGCATCCACAGGTAAAATAATTAAATTGTACAGACATACAAGTACAAGTAAATATCGCCTTGTGATACTTAGAATTAGATGCAGGAGAGTATGATAATGCAGTCAAATGCATCTCACAACTGTTACGTTTATGTACTTTTAGGAAGCATCAGTGAGTTGGGGACTGAAGAAGTTCAGAGTAGTTGATTATCAATAAAAATAACTGACTGTTGATCATCTCTGTGCAGCAGCTAGATCTAGATTTTGTAATGAAAGACTCCAAAGCATCCTTTGAATTCTGAATGGGTTTTGGCTATAATTGGAAAAAAAAAAAGAAAATATGAATATGGAGGCAGACCCCTTGGACTATAATTCCTCTGAATGTGTACATGTTCTTTTTATCATCACACATATATGAAATTAAATATGGAAGTCTGTTCTAGAAACCACTGTAGGAAATATTAGTGATGCAAAATGTATTTTAAGCAGAAAAAAAGACTGTGATATAATCATTAAAACACAAGTAAAAAGTGAAAAAATGTGAATTTATCCCTAAATAGAAAATACAAAAAGACATATAAAAAAAGGAATAGATAAATGAAAATTATAAATGTAAGAGGAGCAGGATGGCCTAGTTGGTATTGTTAAATATATGGTACATATACATCCTCTATCATTCAAATGAAAGAGCATGCTTGAAACTTCTTTGGCTCATAAGTTGATAAAGCAATGATCCAGATTATGAAGTAGTTGGAATGATATATACCTATATACCAATAAAAAAGATCATATTTCAAGACAAAGTTAACAGGGAAAACCAGATAATATTTCAGTTTATGTCTCTTTGCTTCAAACCATTAATTGATCAACCAATAAAACTTTTAACCACACACGAAAAACTTTACAATTTGTAAAAGTTATCTTTATTTTTCAGTTTTGTATTTTCATATTTAGGATAGAATATATTTAGAACTATGTAAAAAAAATATATTGTAACATTCAAAATAAAAGTAACAGAGAATTACAAACAAATTTGTGTAGTTCTTTTCCTGCACACTTTGGAGAAAAACATGTACGTCAATATTTTTTTTATGGTGTGGTTTGATGGCACACCTAGCTGTCCAGGGTTTGCTTCCCAAAACAAATGTGAAAAGGTATATGGTCACTTTCCTGACTATATATGTTTTCCCAGAGTACTCAATATCCTCCTACAGTAAGACCCCTAAGGCTTCCATCCAGGCCAAAAGGAGCGGTTAAGACCCCTAAGGCTTCCATCCAGGCCAAAAGGAACGGTTAATATAAACTTATTGCTTGTTTCACAATTGTTGTAAAAAGAGGTGAATTTTATATTATGTTTTATCTTTTTGTTTTCTTTTTCAATCTTTCGGTAAATCCATAATAATTTTATTCATGAAAAAATAAAGCATTTACAATATGTCACTCAGAAATACACATTTAGTTACATAAACCATAAAGGTGATATTGTTTAGATATCAAGTTGATATTTTTGAAATCTAAATTTACAACATATAATAATGGTTAATCTTGAAAATAACTTCTCCTGTCTTCATTGTGTTCTTTTCAATTTACTAAATTAGTACTGACAAAATATAATAGGAAATATTAGCAAAGCAGTCTGCATATCTTGGAAAATCTTCTCTAGTGTTGCAATGATTACTGAGATATATCTCAGATATAAAATTACAGCAACTGAGTAAAAACATCAATTATTGACGACTGTTTTATTTTATTCACAGACAATGATATAAAATCCAGATGAATCTCAAGAATGTCAAGATATCCACAAAATTTGTCCAACAATGTTCTGCGTCAAAAAACGTCCAGTTCCACAACTTTGAATAGCATGGCAGGAATGTCTCCAGGGAAAATTTCTGCAGATGACAGAGTGATTTTGGATGTTTCCAAACTTGACCAATCCATTGATCCAAACGAAACCTTAACTCGACCTGAGGTGAAACTGCTTTATGTAAACATTTCTCATCTTCCTTCCGTTGTCCAGTTTACTCTGCTAACTGTCGCAGCTTTTGGATTTTATCTCGTTTACGGCTATATACAGGTGAGTTCAAGGTGGTCGTTAGTTCATATTTAATTTATTTATTTCCACTTAATACACATGAATCTGTATGTGACAGCATGGGTATGAAACATTTCTGGGGATTACCAGAATTAGATTTCTAGTGATTGCTACAAATTGCCAGAGATATATTTCTAGAAATCATAGATTGAAATTTCTAGTGATTACCAAGGATAACCTAAACAAAATTTCTAGAAATCATATGTTACCAGACCCATAAAAGATCTTTTTTCATACAATCTGTTTTTAGGAGTTAATATTTCGTCTAGAGGGATTCCGGCCATTTGGATGGTACTTGACCCTTGTCCAGTTTGCCTTTTACACATTGTTTGGATTGGTGGAGCTACAGTTCAAAGAAGATAAAATCAGAAGGTCAGAGATCCTCCTTCAATCTTTCTGATGAAACTGACAAAAATATTGATTATGTCTGCTTCCAATGACAGGGATATTTTAACTTGTAAATAATACTGAATTAATGATAAATAAGTTTTGGAGATTTATTGTGACTACATTTTTTAAAACTAAGATATTATAATTTTCAATGTTTTTAAATGTTTATTGTAATTCTGATTTAATTTACAACAATGACAGTACATGAAACTTTCTGGTAGTAAATACAAATTATTAAGCAGATACACAGAGTTATGTCTCGCAGACAATACAAAGCTGTTCATAAAATTTAATTGAGTTTTGAATGGTAAATCTTTTAATAGTGTTATACTGGTCAACTATTTCAATTAAGTAAACATGAAACCTTCCTGTTAACCCATGACTATATTTATTGGAGTCCCCCAGATTTCCTGTCCAAACTGTTACTCTTGGATTGTACGTAGTTCTGATACCTGGTTAACATCCATATTGAAATAAACCATAGCTTTGTGCAATTTTATGTACATTATATTGCCTTGCTATTCTTTATAGTAGATGTATACCTTTAACTGAATAAGGATCACATCATACAATTTCTTTCCCATTTTAAAATCTGGTATAAATCAACACACAAATCAGTACTTAGGATGACTTTTACAAAACCTACATTTGTAGTAGAAGGAATATTAACCTTGACCTCTGACTGACCAGTAGAAGGTAGGATGGATATTAACCTTGACCTCTGAGTGACCAGTAGAAGGTAGGATGGATATTAACCTTGACCTCTGAATGACCAGTAGAAGGTTGGATGGATATAAACCTCAACCTATGAGTGACCAGTAGAAGGTAGGACAGATATTAACCTTGACCTCTGAGTGACCAGTAGAAGGTAGGATAGATATTAACCTTGACCACTGAGTGACCAGTAGAAGGTAGGATGGATATTAAACTTGACCTATGAGTGACCAGTAGAAGGTAGGATGGATATTAACCTTGACATCTGAGTGACCAGTAGAAGATAGGATGGATATTAACCTTGACCTCTGAGTGACCAGTAGAAGGTAGGACAGATATTAACCTTGACTTCTGAGTGACCAGTAGAAGGTAGGATGGATATTAACCTTGACATCTGAGTGACCAGTTAGCCATCTTTACTGAATCATATTGAAATCAAATCTCATATTTCATTGTTTTTCTCCAAACTCTTGTCCAATTACTCATTATGGTTGTACTTGATTTGATTATTAAATTAGGAAAAAACTCATTGCATATTGTATAAACACCACAGATGTATGTAGTACGTATAGGTTTAGTCAAAACAGTCAAAGCTGTATACCACATTGTATTTTTTATCCTTGTGATTTTGTTTCAGAATTCAAAGTGATTATTATATATTCAATATTTTCCTTTTTCTTGTAGAATTCCGCTGAAGATGTATGCTGTGTTAGCTTTTCTGACAGTGGCCACCATGGGTTTATCAAACACATCTGTTGGTTACCTAAATTATCCTACACAAGTTATCTTCAAATGCTGCAAACTTATACCTGTTATGTTGGGAGGAGTCATCATACAGCGTAAGTACTGATACAGGACATACCTGTGATGTTGTGTGATGTCATCATACAGTATAAGTACTGATACAGGACATACCTGTGATGTTGTGTGATGTCATCATACAGTATAAGTACTGATACAGGACATACCTGTGATGTTGTGTGATGTCATCATACAGTATTAGTACTGATACAGGACATACCTGTGATGTTGTGTGGTGTCATGCTACAGTATAAGTACTGATACAGGACATACCTGTGATGTTGTGTGGTGTCATCATACAGTATATGTACTGATACAGGACATACCTGTGATGTTGTGTGGTGTCATCATACAGTATAAGTACTGATACAGGACATACCTGTGATGTTGTGTGATGTCATCATACAGTATAAGTACTGATACAGGACATACCTGTGATGTTGTGTGATGTCATCATACAGTATAAGTACTGATACAGGACATACCTGTGATGTTGTGAGTCATCATACAGTATAAGTACTGATACAGGACATACCTGTGATGTTGTGTGATGTCATCATACAGTATAAGTACTGATACAGGACATACCTGTGATGTTGTGTGGTGTCATCATACAGTATAAGTACTGATACAGGACATACCTGTGATGTTGTGTGATGTCATCATACAGTATAAGTACTGATACAGGACATACCTGTGATGTTGTGTGGTGTCATCATACAGTATAAGTACTGATACAGGACATACCTGTGATGTTGTGAGTCATCATACAGTATAAATACTGATACAGGACATACCTGTGATGTTGTGTGTCATCATACAGTATAAGTACTGATACAGGACATACCTGTGATGTTGTGTGTCATCATACAGTATAAGTACTGATACAGGACATACCTGTGATGTTGTGAGTCATCATACAGTATAAGTACTGATACAGGACATACCTGTGATGTTGTGAGTCATCATACAGTATAAGTACTGATACAGGACATACCTGTGATGTTGTGTGTCATCATACAGTATAAGTACTGATACAGGACATACCTGTGATGTTGTGTGATGTCATCATACAGTATAAGTACTGATACAGGACATACCTGTGATGTTGTGTGGTGTTGTGTTGTGTGATGTTATCATACAGCGTAAGTACTGATACAGGACATACCTGTGATGTTGTGTGGTGTCATCATACAGTATAAGTACTGATACAGGACATACCTGTGATGTTGTGTGATGTCATCATACAGTATAAGTACTGATACAGGACATACCTGTGATGTTGTGTGTCATCATACAGTATAAGTACTGATACAGGACATACCTGTGATGTTGTGTGGTGTCATCATACAGTATAAGTACTGATACAGGACATACCTGTGATGTTGTGTGATGTCATCATACAGTATAAGGACTGATACAGGACATACCTGTGATGTTGTGTGGTGTCATCATACAGTATAAGTACTGATACAGGACATACCTATGATGTTGTGTGATGTCATCATACAGTATAAGTACTGATACAGGACATACCTGTGATGTTGTGAGTCATCATACAGTATAAGTACTGATACAGGACATACCTGTGATGTTGTGTGGTGTCATCATACAGTATAAGTACTGATACAGGACATACCTGTGATGTTGTGTGATGTCATCATACAGTATAAGTACTGATACAGGACATACCTATGATGTTGGGAGGAGTCATCATACAGTATAAGTACTGATACAGGACATACCTGTGATGTTGTGTGATGTCATCATACAGTATAAGTACTGATACAGGACATACCTGTGATGTTGTGTGGTGTCATCATACAGTATAAGTACTGATACAGGACATACCTGTGATGTTGTGTGGTGTCATCATACAGTATAAGTACTGATACAGGACATACCTGTGATGTTGTGTGGTGTCATCATACAGTATAAGTACTGATACAGGACATACCTGTGATGTTGTGTGTTATCATACAGTATAAGTACTGATACAGGACATACCTGTGATGTTGGGAGGAGTCATCATACAGTATAAGTACTGATACAGGACATACCTGTGATGTTGTGTGTTATCATACAGTATAAGTACTGATACAGGACATACCTGTGATGTTGTGTGATGTCATCATACAGTATAAGTACTGATACAGGACATACCTGTGATGTTGTGTGGTGTCATCATACAGTATAAGTACTGATACAGGACATACCTGTGATGTTGTGTGTTGTCATACAGTATAAGTACTGATACAGGACATACCTGTGATGTTGTGTGTTATCATACAGTATAAGTACTGATACAGGACATACCTGTGATGTTGTGTGATATTGTAGATATGTATCTGTTTTACAGGTAAACGATACAGCTGTATTGATGTAGCTGCTGTTCTTTGTATGTGTGTGGGTCTGATCTTGTTTACTTTGGCTGATAGCAGTGTCTCTCCTTCTTTTAACACCTATGGTAAGTAACATATCAGTTTTAATCTGAGGGCACAATGTCCATTTGCTGTGTTCCTAGTCTGTTGCTTAACAAATTTACACTTTGGTTAAACTGCATCTTATAAAGAACTGAAAGACATGCAGACATAATAATTACCCCATATAAGTGGACTTCAATAAATTTTGTGAATGGAGATGGTTAAGAAGAAATTCAACATAATTAACACAGAGAAATGTTAGAAAGGAAAAGAAAAAAGAATTTTGTAAAGAATGAAAAATGTGAAGTCACTATTTCAGTTCAGTAACGTACTACTCACATTGATGTTAACTTTTGTGTAGGTGTTGTCTTGATCTCGTTAGCCTTGTGTGCTGATGGGGCTATTGGAAATGTTCAGGAGAAAGCACTGAAGCAGTACAGCAGTAGTAATTCAGAAATGGTAGGTAACATCCATGGAATTGTGTATACAGTGAAGATTATATCCATGTAAGGGAGATAAATGTATAGATATTATTTATGTATTACAGAAACACTTTAAGGGAGGTAACTGTGTAGACATTTATTAAATATTAAAATACTGCAGGGAAGATAATAATGTAGACATGACAACATTATACTATAACAGATTGTTTTCAATGTATAAATATAAAAAATATATTAGATGTGAAGTTTAATTAAGGACAAATTTTCAAGGTAAATATGCTATTTTTTTCATCTGTATAATAATCTAATTTGTAAAGCATGAAGAGTTATTTGATTTAAAGATAAATTGCTACAAAAAATATTTGTTCATGAAAAATAGTTTTGTGTTAAAAGTATGCAATTTCCTTGTGATAATTTGTAAAAGATGGCAGACATGTACTTACCTGTATACTTATATGACTTCCTCTGTTTGACTGATTTACAGGTGCTGTATTCTTACTCTATCGGATTCCTGTACATACTTGTTGGACTCATCATCTCACAGTCCTTACTACCTGCCTATGAGTTCTGTAAAAATGTTAGTAACATATAACAGATTTTTATGTCTCAGTCTACTAGCTAACAGCCTACCAGGTAGTAGTTTTGTAAAAATGTTAGTAACTTGTAACAGATTTTTGTGTCTCAGTCTTTACTAGCTAACAGCCTACCAGGTAGTAGTTTTGTAAAAATGTTAGTAACTTGTAACAGATTTTTGTGTCTCAGTCTACTAGCTAACAGCCTACCAGGTAGTTGTTTTGTAAAAATGTTAGTAACTTGTAACAGATTTTTGTGTCTCAGTCTTTACTAGCTAACAGCCTACCAGGTAGTTGTGTTGTAAAAATGTAAGTAACATGTAACAGATTTTTGTGTCTCAGTCTTTACTAGCTAACAGCCTACCAGGTAGTTGTGTTGTAAAAATGTTAGTAACATATAACAGATTTTTGTGTCTCAGTCTACTAGCTAACAGCCTACCAGGTAGTTGTGTTGTAAAAATGTTAGTAACATATAACAGATTTTTGTGTCTCAGTCTACTAGCTAACAGCCTACCAGGTAGTTGTGTTGTAAAAATGTTAGTAACATATAACAGATTTTTGTGTCTCAGTCTACTAGCTAACAGCCTACCAGGTAGTTGTGTTGTAAAAATGTTAGTAACATATAACAGATTTTTGTGTCTCAGTCTACTAGCTAACAGCCTACCAGGTAGTTGTGTTGTAAAAATGTAAGTAACATGTAACAGATTTTTGTGTCTCAGTCTTTACTAGCTAACAGCCTACCAGGTAGTTGTGTTGTAAAAATGTAAGTAACATGTAACAGATTTTTGTGTCTCAGTCTTTACTAGCTAACAGCCTACCAGGTAGTTGTGTTGTAAAAATGTAAGTAACATGTAACAGATTTTTGTGTCTCAGTCTTTACTAGCTAACAGCCTACCAGGTAGTTGTATGGTAAAAATGTTAGTAACATGTAACAGATTTTTGTGTCATGACCCATTTTTCAAGCAAATATTGTAGAACACTGAGAATTCCAGTGACAGCTTTATATTTCTGGTCTCTGTTGTTACATCACAACGACATCTGTGATGTGTGCCATCATTGGATGATCTAAAATGACGTCACAATAAGCTACATATGTATCATTACACATGCAATACACAAAAATATGACTTTGGTAAATTCGCTGAATAACGAGGCAATCATGTGATGAATAACATGTTCACACAAGATACAATTTAACCGGTTCATTAGTATCTATTGCTCATGATCAGCTCTCAACTACTGTTCAATGAAATATTTCAGTGGTTTTCTAAAAAATATGCATTTTTGTTTTCACTTGATTTCATGGATGTTGCTTGCAGATCCACTGGTATTATAATCCATGTCAACTTTAATTTATCACTTCATTGGCATATGAATTTAGAGTCACCATGAATATAATGAAAATAGATCCCCCATGAAAATTTGTGATTTTACAGTTTTACTGAATTAGAAATATAATGTTATAAATTTTAGAGTAATTTTCCACTGAATTTCAAATGTGTGATTATTTTTTTCTTAACGTGAAATTATGTTCCAACATCCAATATAGAAATGACAATATATATGTATTAATTTTTATTTTTCAGTACCCCAGAGAAACATACGGATATGCTATGATATTTTCTGTGTTCGGGTACCTAGGTGTGAATGTTGTTCTGAGTCTAGTGAAAACATTTGGGGCATTGATAGCTGTTACAGGTAAATAAACAGTTTTATGAAATTGATTTTTGATGACCTGTAGCCATTGTGCTTTGTCCGTTGTCATGCGTCTTGCCTCGTGCTTAAACTTTTTCTTTAAAACCCTATTCCTTTTTTATACCTAAATTGATTTCATCCAGATTTGATTTGACAGCCATCTTGGGTTTCCCCTAGTAAAGATTGCTATCCCTATTTCTCAAATTCCATATGTATGTTCCCTCTGGTTTCTCCTTGTGCCAATTTGATTTTGGGACTGATCAGAAGAAACAAAATGGCTTCCAGGTGGCTAGGGTGAAAGGGTCAAAACAAGGGTCATGACCTTTCTTGCATCGTTTTCCATATTTGTTTTTTGCTAAAACATGGAGTATAAAAAATTAACACAAATAAATAAACCACTTTCTATTATATTATATACAGTACTGCATTCATCACATTTTACCTCTTATTCATGATTCTGGAAGCTGGCAGCCTTAATGGCTGTTAGTAACACTGTAGATAATTCATCATCCCAGGATGTACCAAAAGACATATGTCACAGTCTAGTTCCAGTCTACAAGCATCCCTTCTTAAATCTTTATTAATCATTCTCTCAACAAAAAGCAGTGTTTTACAACTTTTTTAAAGAAAGAAATCTGGGAATATTACAGGATGTAAGAAACCTACCATAAGTAGCACATTGTCTTTGATCTGCTTCACCTTGTTCTAATCACATTATTTGAAAATCATCATTAAATCATTAAAAAGTCAAAATAAATGATTGTCGATATTTGAAATATGGATTTTCATATTCCTTGTTACCTTGTTACAAAGCAAGTATGTAAAAGTTTGTAAATCAGAAACAACATGGTTGGTAGTATGTATGATATATGTGTGTTTTTATTTCAGTAACCACCTGTAGGAAAGCTGTGACGATTATACTATCCTTCATATTCTTTACCAAACCGTTTACATATCAGTAAGTACATACATTGATCAAAGTCTCTGTAACAATGAACTGATTGGTGATGGGGGGAGGGGGCGGGGCTCCTTTAACAGTGTACTGATTGGTGATGGGGGGAGGGGGCGGGGCTCCTTTAACAGTGTACTGATTGGTGATGGGGGGAGGGGGCGGGGCTCCTTTAACAGTGAACTGATTGGTGATGGGGGGAGGGGGCGGGGCTCCTTTAACAGTGTACTGATTGGTGATGGGGGGAGGGGGCGGGGCTCCTTTAACAGTGTACTGATTGGTGATGGGGGGAGGGGGCGGGGGCGGGGCTTCTTTAACATTGTACTGATTGGTGATGGGGGGAGGGGGCGGGGCTCCTTTAACAGTGAACTGATTGGTGATGGGGGGAACTGATTGGGGGGGGGGGGGCGGGGCTCCTTTAACAGTGTACTGATTGGTGATGGGGGGAGGGGATTTGTAGGGGGGTGTACGGGTGATTTGTAGGGGTCGGGGCTTTTTAACATTGTACTGATTGGTGATGGGGGGAGGGGGCGGGGCTCCTTTAACAGTGAACTGATAGGATACACATTACTTTCCTTATCAATTCTCTATAGTGATTTGTAGGGGGCGGGGCTCCTTTAACAGTGTACTGATTGAATACACATCACTTTCCTTATCAATTCTCTATAGTGATTTGTAGGGGTCGGGGCTCCTTTAACAGTGTACTGATAGGATACACATTACTTTCCTTATCAATTCTCTATAATGATTTGTAGGGGGCGGGGCTCCTTTAACAGTGTACTGATAGGATACACATTACTTTCCTTATCAATTCTCTATAATGATTTGTAGGGGGCGGGGCTCTTTTAACAGTGAACTTATTACACATCACTTTCCTTATCAATTCTCTATAGTGATTTGTAGGGGTCGGGGCTCCTTTAACAGTGAAATTATTACACATCACTATCCTTATCAATTCTCTATAATGATTGTGGGTATACAGGTCTATCATTATCATCATCAATTATTTTTCTTTATTATTCCAGATATATATGGTCTGGATTGATTGTAATCCTTGGAATTTATCTGAATGTGTACAGTAAAAACAAAGTGAAAATAGATGCCGTATTATCTCGTAGCTGTGAATGTATTCTACTGAAGGTCAAGGTGAAAAAATCCTACAAACCATACACTAGTGCTTTGACTGAGGTATGACTGAAGCATGTTTTCCTGGAGGAATGGAATTTGCTCTCAAGAAATTTCTTCAGCAACCAGGTTGTTGTGTGCTTGTAACAACAGAGATATCCCTATTTACATTGTGTACTGCCAAGTGTTCTTTATAGAGAAGAAAATCTTACCAACAAATTATATTTATTAACTTTTACATACATCACTCTTGATGGCCCTGAAGTGTGTGAGGAGTCTCGCTGTGAGAGGAAACTGGGGTACAAGTGTATTAGACCCCTGAAGTGTGTGAGGAGTCTCGCTGTGAGAGGAAACTGGGGTACAAGTGTATTAGACCCCTGAAGTGTGTGAGGAGTCTCGCTGTGAGAGGAAACTGGGGTACAAGTGTATTAGACAAACCTGATATAGTGTAGGTGATCCTGACCCAATACTTTCACATCAAATCAGGGAGTTTGGTCACCTATTAAAGAGAAAGTCAAGTGTACATATGTTTCACCAACAAACCAACCACAAGAAGTCTTCTTTTTCATCAATTTTATTATAACTGGGTGTTGGCATCTTAGTCAATTTAAATCTTTTCTTACAGATGTTCACAATCCATTTCATTCTCAATGTGAATAATTGAATTTTACTATAACTCTTAGAGGGCCATCGACAAAATGGTTTGTGGTATTAAGATAAAGATATTTAAAACTTTTGTCATGAGTTTGATCATCTCTATAAGTAAGAAATCAATATTCTATATTTTTAGGGATAATTCATTCTACATCAGTCAAGTTGTTCATAATTATCACCTAACTTCAACACTTTTGGGAAAAATATGTGTTACTGTGTTTCCATTTATTTGTCAGTCCATCCTCTCGTTTCTTTACCTGTATATTGGTTATGACTATATGTGTTCTATAATTAATTCACATCTTATTATCAAAGACTAGCTTCAATTAATTGAAACACATTTAACAAAATTTATAAATGAGGTAGACTTGCTGGTTATCAGATTGTCAATGCACACCTGTTGACCAAGCAGGTTAAAAAAAACTGAAATTTAAATCAGAGTTTCTGTTTCAATATATTTATATAATTCGAAATTGAGTAACTTAGTTAAATGTGAGACAGATCAGACTTTTTATTCAAATTGGAAACAAATCTGTGCTTTGTTGCCAACAACAGCAAACAGGCGTATTGACTATTACAGAAGTGTATAACTCACTGTGCTGTACCTGTTCAGGAATTAAAAATAGTGGAAAAAGATTGCCGTAAAAATGTAAGAGCTCACTTTAATTTACAAAACCACAGGTTTATGGAAATAATCAGACTGGTAGCAGTACCAAACACAGAAATACTTGGAATCCATCACAGTATTTATATGTTGATGCTCAATTGATGAATAATCATGATCCTTCCCAAATGTGGGCAAACTGTTGGCATCAAGGCAGAATCATTGTCAGGGATACACTCCAATTACATCTGGTTTAAGCAAAATATTTTTCAAGTTCATCACCCAATAATATTTACTAAAACTAAAGAAAACAATCTTGTTTAAATTACAGACTGGTCCTCAGAAATGTGTGGCAACCTGCACAATATCGTTTCCCTTCGTTGTTCTTCTGGAAAACTCCTGAACCAATTTCAGTGAAATTTTACAAAATTCTTCCATGGCATAAGGTGTACCAAAAATTTTAAATTATATTGACTCCAACCCCACGGGCTTGAGGGGCAGGGCCAAGAAATGGGGAGGGGGTTTTACTATAGTTTATACAGGAAAATCACATTTTTAAAACATGATTATTTTCTATTGCAAATAGTTCAAACCTGGATATATTTATTGGTTTAAGATGACAGTTAAATGAGCTGCACATATTGACCTCGGCTGACCCAAAGGGCTGTTGGGTGGGGCCAAAAATAGGTGAAATTTTAAAAATCTTCTCAAATTCCAGGTATGGTAGAATCAAGTACTGTTCATGGATGAAAAGACCTTCAGATGCTTTACCAAAATTGTAAACATCACAACCCCAGGGGTTCACATTTACCCCAGGGGAGGGGGTATAATTTACAATAGTTTTTATAGGTAAATTACATTTTTGAGCATAATTTATTTTGTTTTGGAAATAGTTCAAACCTGGATAGAATTATTAGTTTAAGATGACAGTTTAATGAGATGCAAATATTGACCTCGGCTGACCCCAAGGGGCTGATGGGCAGGGCCAAAAATGAGTCAAACTGACTGAAATTTTAAAAATCTTCTCAATACCCAGATAATGTTGAACCAAATACTCTTCATGGATGAAAGTGTCTTATGGTGCTTTATAAAAGTTGTAAATTTCAGGATCCCAGGGTCTCACATTTCCCTCACAGAGGGGATAAATTAACTTTATTTTATATAGGAAAATTACATTTATGAGCATAATAGTTCAAACTTGATAAGATTTTTTTAATAAGTTTAAGCTGTTAGATAAGATACACATATTGACCTTGACTGACTCCTAAGGAGCTGATGGGCGGGGCCAAAAATTGGTCAAATTGACTAAAATTTCAAAGATGTTCTACTGTTCCTGGATGGAAGATTTTATATAGGAAATTTCAAATCTTGCGTGAAATTTCTTTTAATTCAAACTTAGTTAGAAGCCTTGGGAGAGCAGTTAATGCATACACAAAATGCATTTGTATTAAATATACAATTTAGTTAAAGTTATATTACTTTTTGTAACAAAATCATTTCTATGATATGTTACAAGAAAAATTGTGACTCAGGTGACCGTTACGGCTCTTGGGCAATATATATGATTTTGGGGTTATATAAGTTCTGTTCAGTAACAGGATTGTGCGATAACCTTTTTCAAAATATCACCAACAATGCCTTAATGTCCAGCTGTATGTTAGTGTATGTATACATAATTGCAGGTAAGAGTTTTTTTTCTGGAATCACATCATACAGGTGTTTCATTATTGATAAAGCGAAAGTTGAAAATCATTTCGATGAAATTACTATGATTTCTGTAACATTCATGTGGTAGGTGTACAGCCAAATTGTAAGTTCCAGAAACCAGTCTGAAGTGAAGGTTATGTCAAAATTAACCTCTAAAAGCCAATCAAACTTCTGTCTCCTACAAAACTCTACAAGTTTTTTTATTCTTTATATATAAATATATAGAATTTAGTAAGTAATATCGACGGTATGGTCCAATATTGGTACGGGATCTTCTATATATAGAATCTAGTAAGTTATCGATCGACGTTATATCGACGGTATGGTCCTAATATTGGTACTGGACCTTCTATATATAGAATCTAGTAAGTAATATCGACGGTATGGTCCAATATTGGTCGGGATCTTCATATATAGAATCTAGTAAGTAATATCGACGGTATGGTCCAATATTGGTACTGGATCTTCTATATATAGAATCTAGTAAGTAATATCGACGGTATAGTCCAATATTGGTACTGGATCTTCTATATATACTTATAAGTAATATCGACGGTATGGTCCAATATTGGTACTGGACCTTAACAAACAAATGTTCATTGGATGCACATTACTCGAATATATATATTCTCAACAAAAGAAACTGCACAATTAAATTATGCAATCAAAAAGATCAAAATGTATTCTAAATATGGTAATAAAGGCAGCCATTTTGAATTTCCTTTTCACTTTAAAGTGATAAGAATTGATAAGTACCCTGTATTTTTCATTTGCACATTTTATTATGATCTAAAATATTGATAATTATACATATGTCAAAGGTCAAATAATGGCCACCAAAGGTATACATCTCATCTGCATATCTTATCATAATGAAAAATAATGTGAAAGGTCAGTTTGTAGGTCACCAAAGGTCAAAGGTCTTTAAGTCATTAATATCAATAATGTATTCTTTTCTTTTGCACATCTTATTACAATGTCAATTTATGTCAAACGTCAACATATAGGTCACCAAAAGTCACAGGACCAGGAAATTAAATTGATTTTCATAACCCATTAAACAATCATTGATCTGGTTGCCATAGTTTACTTCTGATGAACACAAAATTAAGACTTCCATACCAAATCTACTAAACAAAATTTCATCAATAACATTCAAACGGTATTTGAATTAGTAGCTCGTAACATATTTAAAGATGGAGGCTATGGAAGAAATGTTGAATTTTCATTTTCACTTAGATATTGATCAGTATCCTATATCTATTATTTGCATGAAGTTTCATCAAAATCTGCTGAGAAAGTTTACAACCGGACAACAGACACTGGACAACAGATGTCCATATGGATCACTCATTTTAGCCTTCAGCTCAGATAAACTAAAAATAAGACATAGCTAAAATAAAATCAGAGATCATCTTTATTTAACTGTTTCAATAATTGTAATGAGAAATTAACAGTAACAGTGAATACAAGTAAGTTTTCCTTGATTAAAGTACAGTCGAACCTCATTATCTCAAACTCCTACAACTCAAAGACACCGTTTAATTCGAAGCAATTCATCGGTCTTTACATGAAACATTCAATCTTACTTAAATCAAATGCTCATTCATCTTAACATTTTCCCGTGGTACTGCCAAGTTAGAGATTACAAGGTTCGACTGTATAATGAAAACAGATACAGATGGATTTAAAGGTAATATTTTAACTGAAATATGAAACAAAATACTGTGAAACGTCGAATTGCAATAAAAAAAATCTTTATTGATTAAATGAACTGCTTGAGAGACCCAAGTAATTGGCCTAACTGACTATTTGGCTCAGTTCTAAATCATTCTTTAGTCCTTCATCTTTTCTACACTAGATTCAAAATTACGAAGACAGCAGTTCTTACTTCTTGGTCTAGGATACATTTTACATTCAAAGAAGGGTAGTAGATGTTGTCTATTAAAGAAAAATGAAATTTCATGAAATACCAACAGATATGGCATCGTGTTAAATATTTATGTTCTTGCTATAAACTTGAACACAATGTAAAAATTACATCTTACAAATATGAGATCACAGTACTCTAGTTACTAAAATAAAAATTAATAAACAATAAAGAATTGCCTGAGTATTCAAAGCAGATCACTGAGATCTTCAGTGTTACAGTTCACCATTCAACAATTTTACACCTAAATCGCCTAAGGTGAAAATATCCCGAACACATTTATCCTGCGTTGTTCCTACACTAGTCAAAATCATCCTGATGTTCTATCAACATATCGGTTTTGCATCGGTGAATGACCCAAGTCCAATTAACAAATTCTGTAATACGTCAGAATAATTAAGACAATCCACATACAGGATTGTAACCCTGTTGTTGTAATATGGTCTTTCAATCAAAACTGCTAACCATTACTACGTTAATATCCTGGTATCTTCTAGACTTAGCGTAGAATAAATTTGTTTACAGTAATTTATGCAAATAAGTTATTGTAATTATACATAAATAAAATTATACTATAAGGCATTTGGACATGTAGCGGTGCATTTAAACATGTAATATATTAGTATATATTGACTAAATTTACATACATTATCACAGAAATAAAACATCAAACCAACAGTTGTTGATTTCTTTTGGATTCTATCATCAGAACAAAGTGAGAGCCAAAATCAACATGCCTTAGCATATTTAATTGCATACATAAAATAGAGTAAAATCTCAGTCCTGAAACTGAAATAGTTCTGTATAAATTAAATGCAAAACAAGTTTCATTAATTTTGTT